GTTTATTGCTGTGCTAAACATGTGTTTGAAAGAACATGATTCATTCTTATGTATTATAATGAACTGGTGCACTTGTCTTCCTTAGATGTGCAGCAGGGCCATTTGCAAAGAATCTTGTCACAATGGGGATAAAGTCAGAGCCTGGCAAGTGAAGAGTCCTAGGTGGATCACAAAAGCTCTGAATATGGGCATATAGAAGGATCTGGTTCAGAAAGAAGCATTTGACTGTTAAACATGCTATTATTGTCTCTAGGCCAATAATAATCTAAGGCCAATGCCTTTCAAATCCATGAAAGTGGTTAACTGAGAAATGATGTATAATACTAAATATATTTCCACAATGCAATGCGGAGGAAATTTGAAATACGCAACTGAATTTATCATGCAGGCATGGTTAGGCCCAGGTTAAATTTATACATATAATGGAAAGATTCCACATCCGGAGCTACATGGTGCATTTTTTTTCAATCATTTTCTCATTTTGATTTTTTTTTTTTTTTTTTTTACAAAACATTCTTATGAGGAGGAGCCTCCCTGCTTTCATATCCGAGATATATATATGCTTATTCCTCCATATAATTGTCTTGTTTGTTCACTTCAGATGTGTGTGAGCCAGAGGTGTGTGCCCATACCAGGATCAAGTTTGGGAATGCTGTTCTGGATGCTGCTGGTACTAATCCTTGTTATCTTCTGCTTCTTGTGGGATCCCTTACGGTGGTGGTGGGTGAAGAAAGGACGTGCCTGGTTCTCCCCCACTTTCCCACGTTGTGCTGCCTGTCTTGACACCTGCTGCTGTCCATTCATGTCTAAAGTCATGCAGTGGACAGTCACCATTTGCCCACTACGCAAGCGAAAGAAACCAGATAAAAAAAAAATTAAAGGAAATAAAGAAGCAAACGGTAATGTAGCGTCTCAACTGGATCAGGACACAACACAGTCTTGGCCAGTAAATACTTGGGGAGGTGAAAATGAACAGCAACCTGTAGAAGTGGCCTATTGGACACCAAGTAATATCCATCTTACTTCAAACTCATCTGTTTTGCATCACAAAACTGTAGAGCTTGGTCATCCAGTGCATCATAATTCTATTACATCACAGCCAACATTTGGATCTGGTGAAGTACCTCTCCTGAATAATGTACATTCTGCTACCAACTGGCCCATTCCTTCATCAGATGCTAGAGGACAAATAACAGAAAGCACACCAACATCACCAAATCCCCTTAGTGATGATGAGGTCATCAGTAAACTATCAGAATTAACGCAGAAGCTTAACATTATCTCTGGAACGGAAAACATTACTCGGCAAATAGTACAACCACAAGTATCCAGTGATTCTTTATCAGAAAAACTTGTGCCGGTTAGAAAAGCTCCATCCCCTCCTGTCCAAAAAGATGGGAATAAAGCAGCAGTGACAAACAGCAGCAGATCCTCACAATCTATTATGCCTTCAACAAGAAGTCCAGTTTCATCACAAATGCCAGAACCTACTATATCTCTGAGGCAAGAACCTGTTATACCTCCAAGGCCAGAGCCTGTCATACCTCCTAGGCCACAATTTAATGACTTACAAGATTCACTACCACAAATTTCTGAATATAATTTATTTCAAAAGCCAGAACCAACTATACCACCCAGACCAGTGTATAATGTGTCTCCAAGATCAGAGTATATTGTACCTCCAAGACCAGAGCCATCAATACCTCCAAGACCAGAATTTTCGGAAGTGTTTGTATCCCATAAGCAGGAACCTGTTGCACCTCCAATACCATAGCCTAAATATGCAACCATATCAGTGCAATGCGACTCTTAACACGAAGATATTCATTCCTCTTTCAGTGATGTTGTAATAACACAATTTTAATTTTTAATTTAATTTTTAAACAATTAAAGTTTATCTATTTATAATTTATAAATTATATAAAAATAAACACTATTTATATATAATTTTCAAGACTATGATATGTTGGCAACTTTTGAATGGCTCAGCTAATCAGTATAGTACAAAATTTGTGTTTTATTTACATTGTGACATGTTCAAGTGCTAGTGGCTGTACAAGAATGTAAGAACTCTTTATTTATACAGTATATATATATATATATATATATATATATATATATATATATATATATATATATATATATATATATATATATATATATATATATATATATAAGTACTGTATTATAAAAAGTCTCCGGGAACCGCAGAACAGCCAAGCAGATTTTATTCTGTAAACATTGCTCACCTTGTGCAATGGAAGCAATAGTATGCAAGATTAATTGGGTAGGAAAGGCAAGTCATTAACTAATGGAAAATCTGTACAAATTTTCCACTTAGTATAAATAATAATAAGGCAAGGCAGTTTTAAATGTGATGGTTTATATGTGATAACATTACAACATGTTATATTACATGTACCTGTTGAACTGGGACTCCTTTATTAGCCATGCTAAATAGCGCTAAAATGATGTAGAATCACAAAAGCTAACAAGCTAAACCTTATATATTTGGATGCAATACACTGTATTATCATGCCCTATGCAATGTTTAAGCTGAAAAAATACTTGAAGAAAAGGATACTAGGGGAAGATTTTCAGATCAGTTTAGTTACAATTATAGATAGTGAAGAAGTAAGTACAGTGTTCAGCATTTTTTATGCAATTGGTTTAATCTCTGTGAGGCCTAAATAATTAAGAGTAAAAAATTTAGTTAGCTATGATAGTACTAAATATACTTCTCACTTTCGCTAAAGAGAGATGTAATTTCAAGATGGTCTAACCCATTTTAGCTGCAATTCAGTGAACAATACTAGATTGTGTATTAGGCCTATGTAAACCAAAAATGCAGTAATAGTTTATTACACATTTTAACTAGCTTCAACTTTTAACAGTACTCTATGCTCAGATTTGATGTCATGAACAATTCTAACTCTTGTAGCTAATAAATTGATACTGTAGAGATGAACTGAAAGTCCTATTCTCCTAGGAGAAATTACTTGCTAAATATTTTGCTTCAGCTGATTGCAAGAACTATTCCTAATGTTATTCTTCTGGTGATATGCAATATTCCCTTTAGGAATGTTATCTAGTGTGTGTGAACATGTTGGATATCCGTTATGAATGCTGCTCACTCTGACAGATGGAATGTTTGATGTTGAAAGTACCGCATAATAATAATAATACCGTCTTTGTGACTGTCACGAGAGTAGTGTGACAAGTGGATGATGTGTATAGAATTAATGTTATATAGTCAAGAATTCTGAGCCTGTAACTATATTATAATGAATAAGTCGGATGTTGTCCTTACGAATGGTATAATTTTGAGGACTGCTCATATATATATGCGAGATGATGATAGCCAATTGCCATTCATAGGCATACGAGATGATCAAATTGTGAAAGATGCCTCACTGTGGCCCTGGTGGGAATAGGAGGGTTGTGGCTTAAAGGGGCCTCTATTCTGCCTGATTTTTTAGCGGGTATATTTTAAATTTGAGAACTATCCTGGGTTCAGTAAATACTGTTCTAGATCTTTATTATTGTGGGATGAACATTTCTTCATCTGGTCGTAACTTGCCTGAAGTTGTGGCCTCTCATATGGATGGAATTAAGGATGCAACTCATAAATGTTATCTATTTGTTACTACCTGTTTGTTACTACAGGTAGATACTGTATGTCATATTGTTCCATCTTACGTAATTTATCATAAAGTTTTAAAACTTTGGTTATTTTAACATACAGCCTCCTCATAGTTTATTCCAACCATTCACAAACTAACATCGTTATATATTTTCTTATCTGACCTTACAATATTCTGTAAATCCTCACATTTCTGGTTTCAGAATGTTTACAAAACTTTTATATGGTAATCATATTCACTCTTCTTCTACCTCACAATCTGGGCATGTCCAGAACTTTTAATCTTTCCCCTTAGCTCATATTTCTTTGAATTCATTTGATTGCATTTTTGTATTTATTATTTTAATATACAGTACTAATTAAGTAATTATCAAAAGAAGGCACCAAGCCGGGAAGGCTATGTAGCACCATCAAATGTGCGGGATATTCATAGGGTGCTAAATATCGCTAAGGATGCCAATATGAGAACAAAAGCACATAAGACGAAAGATATCAAAGGTATCTGATTCGCCAAGAATTCTGTCCAAGGACACGTGACCGCGAGGGATGGTCAGGAAACAAGATATGCACGTCCTGAAAGTCCGGACATTCAACAAGGATGTACACAACCTTAAGAGGGACAATGCAGTTTGGACAATAAGGAGCAGGGCGGCTCTCCATTCAGTGTCCACGAGTTAAACGTGTATGTCTAGTACATAACCTCGACAGAGCCGTTTCCCACTGCTGGTTATGGTGGTAAGAGGAAGGCCATTTGGACATGCTACTCTTAAAAGCATGCAGTTTGTTACCAGTAACAGAAAACCGACTTTTTTTTTTTTTTTTTTTTTTTTTTTTTTTTTTTTTTTTTTTTTTTTTTTTTTTTTTTTTTTTTTTTTTTTTTTTTTTTTTTTGGCAGGGATATTTCTGCGCAGGCCCTAAGTCTCTGGCTGGCCCACTAAGTGTTGCTTGTTTCTGTTTTACTTGGGCGGAGTATGAGTATTTATGACTCGTATGGTCGCTTCAGTAAGATTTTGCCATATGTGTTTAACAACTACTTCTGCTCTGTTGAATCCAAGTTGAAATCTTAATGGCTTTGTAACTGTGCACTGTGTTAGATAATGTTCCAGTAGTCTGTCAGGCATTTCTCCACAGTGTTGACATTTCCTCTCATCTTCTGGAACCTGTAAGCCTATTTTTCCATGCACATGGGTATCCAAGCCTGATGTGATGTAAGTGTACTTCTGTTGGGTCCCTTTCCTAAGTTTTGTAAAACTTTGACCCATGCGAATAAAGCGTTTACACCACCTACAGTCCTGAAACGCCTTTTCTTCACACTCCCACTCCATTTCCGTCTTCACCGATGGGTCCAAGTCTGCAGACGGTGTAAGCTATTATGTTTTTTTCCTGACCACACCTGTGTGTGTTGCCTGCCTCCAGACACTAGCATCTTCACGGCAGAACTTTATGCTTTTGTATGCTCATCAACTACTTTCTCACTGTCAATCCTCCTTTGTTGTTGTAGTCGACTCTCACAGTGCCCTCATGGCTCTGGTGGGGTCCTTTAATCCAGTCCATTCTGCGGTAGTCAAAATTCAACATTGGCCATTTCTTATCTCCAGTGGGTCCGTCTAATTACTGCAAGCTACCACAAGCTACACAAGATTCACAAAGCTTCCTGGCAATACGTTAGTAATGAATAAATATGATATGTTAGATTAGGTTGACCTAACCTAACCTAACCAAACCAAACCTAACCTAACCGACACTTGGATTGTCGACTTGATTTGGCGTCACCAGCTATAAATAAAAAATAAATAAATAAATAAATTTTGATTCAAGTAAGGTACATACATACAAGGCAAGATACAAAAGTTGATTGATTTATAGATAGAGCTAGTACATACAATGCCTAAAGCCACTATTACGCGAAGCGTTTCGGGCAGGAAAAACACTAAGACTAAAAACTTAATACTAATTGAGATTAAAGTAAAAATTGTGTTGAGAAAAAATAAGAAAAGAATAGAAAAAATGGGGGGGGGGGGAAACATGGCAGAAAAAAACAAAAATACAATTTGGTCAACAAAACAGCATTGTTTAAAATAGAAGATATGGGTTAATAATTTGGGGGTGAGGTAGGTTACATTGAGTTAATTAGGTAGTACTTAGTTTTTATCTTAAATTGGTTGGAAGAGGTACAGTCTAACATAATTGGGAAGGTCATTCCACATTCGAGGTTTCTTGATTTGTAAAGCATTTCTAGTTTGACTGAGTTGTACTCTTGGAATATCAAATAGGTATTTGTTTCTGGTGTGGTGCTCATGGGATCTGTTACAACCTTCTACGAAGCTTTTAAGGTCAGGACTGACATTACAGTTCAGCGTTTTATATATAAAAAATACACATGAGAGAATGTGCAGGGGCTTAATATCTAACATATTGATGTTACGGCCCTCTCGGGACGCAACGGGGTTCTTACTCTGATGTAGTTAGAGGAAGATATATATCCGGCCCCAAGCCAGTAGAGGCTATCAAGGGATGCGATCCGTGACGCAAGTTACTAAAAGGGAGTAGGGAAAGGTAAGAACTTAATATAATATAATATTCACCTACACCAATTAAATATATAAAAGTAAAACGTGCACAAGGGGAGGGTATTAACACTATTCAAGGGGATCGTGCACAATCTAGTCTTCTGCTGAAGACTATGGATCCTCGAAGCTAGGTGCTGAGTCCGCGGTGCTTTCTTCGTGGCCTCAAGACGTGTCTTCTGGAACGCCGAGCCTACCCTGGCCACAGGTCAGCCAAAACACAGGTCCACTGGGGGCACCGTCGTGGAGGCCGTCAACCACACGTCCAGCAGGTCGGCTGGCAGGTACTGAGCCACCAAGGCTGGTACGGCCACTCCACAAACGATAAAAGGGGTACGCCCTAGACAGGAGTCTCGTGTGATATCACCAATCACCCTCCTGTCCTCAATACCCCAGTGGATTATCGTCTCCAACCGTCGGTCCCGGGTAAATCCTTCCACTGCCACTCCACTGGCAGGCTTAACACACCACAGTGTTCTTCCGGGGGGACGACGTCACAACAGCTGCAGCAAACTTCACAGTATGGAGACTGGCTGCCTCGGGTAGACTGACTCCACCTTCAACACAGTGGTCCCAGGTCGGCTCTGTAAGCAGACACGTCATTAATAACCGGGACACTAATACACCACACTCACAGGCTCAGATACAAACACCCGACATATCCACTCCATAGATGGCGTTGTCGTCGGAGCACCACCTCACCAGAGGTCAGGAGCGGCGGTGTTGAGCGCTGAACCAGACTGGAAACTGGTCCTCGAGGCCAGTACACACTGTCCTCACTAGGTGTCGTCGTTCGTTTGGCGGGGGTTTCGGGAGCTGACCCACAGATGGCGTGTTTGTCACTGCTCCAGGCTCGGACGTTGAATCCGGGTTCGTAACAATTGAGATATTTGAGTAAAGGTACCGAGTGATGTCTGGGGCAAGAGTGAGATATTGTCCTAATAGCAGCTTTGTGTTGAGTAATTAGAGGACGTAAATGATTTTGGGTAGTAGTAAGCAGTAAGCAGATTTTGGGTAGTAGTAAGTAGTAAGCTCTTTATTTTCATCTAATTTCTTTATAAAAAGATACTTTTTCAGTTTAAAATTATGTTTTTTCGTGTTGTACATTCAGCACCAACATTATAATGAGTAAATATATAATTTATTCATTACTAACGTATTGCCAGGCAGCTTTAAATTTAAATTTTGCCCCGAGGGGCGAGTTTATTGGGCAGCGCCACTCATCTTGTGAGTGAACATACCGCCATAGCAGAATGTACAACACTCCCCAATAGGAAGAAAACCCGCTGGGTTGTTCATCCTGTCACTTGTACCCGGGTCCGTCTAATTACCACAAGCTACCACAAGCTACACAAGCTTCAGAAAGCTTCCTGGCAATACGTTAGTAATGAATAAATATGATATGTTAGGTTAGGCTGACCTAACCTAACCTAACTTAACCAAACCAAACCTAACCTAACCGAAGCTTGGATCGTTGACTTGATTTGGCGTCACTAGCTTTTTATTTTCGTCTAATTTCTTTATAAAAAGATACTTTTTCAGATTAAAATTATGTTTTCTCGTGTTGTACATTCAGCACCAACATTATAATGAGTAAATATATCATATTTATTCATTACTAACATATTGCCAGGAAGCTTTCTGAAGCTTGTGTAGCTTGTGGTAATTAGACGGACCGAGACCAAATATTGCCTGTACTTTCTGGGCCCTTTCTCTCGGTTGTGGCTCCATCACTGATCACCAGGCTCTGTTTGCCTTGATGAATAAATCAGATTCTGATCCTGGTGTTCTGTAGGTCTTCACAAGTTTAGAGGGCCGCTTGTATTTGTCACTATGGTATCAAACCTTAAGAATCACTGAGTAACTAAGGGAACAGTCTAGAAAAATAAACAAAGAGCAAAAAAGTAAGTATAGCTATGGGGGTGTCCATGATAGTGTGAATAATATAATGAACAATATAATGAATGAAATGTGTGCTATTCTTTTATTATCTATAACCTTCTCTCACTACATGCTATTGTGCTACAATACTCAATTTCAATAGTAACTATGCTCTCCTGATCAAATTTAATTATTTTAAGTTTGAAATTTATATTATCAAGAGCCTGTGATAATCAAACCTGGAAATGAGGAAAAAAACAGAAGTGAAAAACCATAAGGTATTTTTAATTTTGGAAAGGTGAGAGCTTCTCTAAATGTGAGAGCAATACTCGTGAGAAGCTCTAGCATTATGCATCCTGTCTACAGAAAACATACCCGTTATACTCAGCACAGGCACATGGTGACAATAAAACATAATAATGCGCATTAAAGTTTCATACAGAACAAACATACATGTTTTAGAGCTGACTACATTCATCACAATTTCAGATAATCAATACTTGACTGTACTCCAGACTTTCCACCAACCTCAGCTCCCTTGAATGTGATCCTATTTTCCCTCTGACACATTAGCCCAGCTGTTTATGAGTGGAATCTGCAGGGAATGCTTCTATTCAATTCATTCTTGCTCCACAACAGCTTCCATTTCTTCTATATCACTACCCTCTTCAAAATCCAGATGGTTGCCATCATCATCGTTATTATCTGCATCTTCATCAGCATCATCATCGTTATCTCTCTCATCTTCAGTTAAATGGAATTCATCAGGAGATTCAGGCATGAGATAACTGGGCACAACACTAATGGGTGGAGAATGGTACAATGTTTCAGACTCTATCTGCAGAAAAGAAGGAAACATTTTGATGTTATATATATGTCTGTGTACAGATCTTGTATGAATAAATCATATTTTTAAAGGATTATTAACAAAAACTAGTTATACAGCAGTTCTATAATAAATTAACATTTTGTACACCAATATTTTTCTCCCATAATTATTACTGTACTTTGCTGCAAGCCTACATGTTTTTAACAAGCTAAATTGTATAAAAAATCAAGCAGTCACTGTAATAACATGCCCTTTTCTGGTGGGTCACCCAGTAACTCCGTTTCTATAGTAGTTGTTTTTCTAAAGCCTCAGGGAATCGCACCAGATTTCCGAGATGCAGTCGAGCCTACCGAGAGCCAGGACCAAAATCTGCCTCTCTTAAAAACATTAGTGCATCAAACCTAGCAACTGCTTGAAGGAAATTAGTAATCTGAGGAAAAGAAGGCAATCACTTTTGCAGGGTAAACACCAAAGGTATGCTGCTACTGTAGATGGCAAGAAGTCTGCCTGACCCAAAGTCAGTAAAGGTGCATAAAACAACAGAATCATGGATATAGGGTAAATATCTAGGCTGTTAACCAAGACTTGGATAAGGACTCAGGTAGGAGCAGAGAAGGTATCCAGTTCATACTGATACATTGGTAGAGAAATCCATTCATATTGAGCAAGAATAAAAACAACAAAACACATCTGGGCCAGGCACATAACATTGAAGAGCCAAAGAGCAACCATGGCCCCCTCCAGCAACCTCAAATTCCCAGAAATGTAACCTTGAAACCTGTGAGCAATAGGCCAAAAACTGTAAAGAAGGGAATCCCTTAACAATGGGAAGCCAAACACCCAGGTACATTCCAAAGAAATAAGCAGGACAAGGAGGAAATAGAAGCTTGGCCAGCACAGAAGGCCAACTCTGGAAAATGGTACATACCTGAAGGTGAAAGGATTCCTGAATCCAACAAGCAGAATGACCATAAGACAATGAGTCACAATAACATTGCTAAAGATATGATGACCAAACCACACACCAGAAAAAGAAGACACAATGATGTTTCGGTCCATCCTGGACCATTATCAAGTCAATTCACAATCGATTGGATAATGGGCAGGACGGACCGAAACATCGTAGTCTCTTCATCTTCTGGTGTGTGGTTTGGTCATCATGACCATAAGAGTCCAAGAGCAGTGAATTGCATTCAGGACAGGTGCATAAAGCAATTTTTAAAATTATTTTGTGCCAGAGACGTGGCCAGATATTTATAATGCTAACCAGCATATATACATTTTCTTCTGTCCTCCATGGACAGGCTCCCAGAAATAGCCATGTCAGAAAGCTGTTAAGACATATAGTTCAGTGATTTATTGAACAATCAACCACAGGTGGAGGTAGTGCTTTTAAAATACTAATCTAAACAACATACATAAATACATATATTTATGTCTGTCCTACATAAACAGTGTTCAAGGTATGTTTGGCTTAGGGAGTAGAAGAACTTGCAAAACCTCATCGAGGTACAATCCAGGTTTAAGGTACTGGCCACTTGGACTGTCAGCAGACATACAGATAGGCCATGCACATGAAAAACATCTCATCTGAACATAAGCCCCCAACCTGAACTACCTGGCAAGAGAAGGTATATACAGTAATGGACAAAAACAATTACTTATGCAACCTAAATGCACCCTCCCTTATCTAGAGTGCAGAGTCCAACAGCACAAATGGCACAGCTAGGCATAAAAGCAACACAAGTACAGTATACAGCTAACTACTATCACTTCTCTTCAACAGGTTTTGCAATGGAAAGCAAACCCATGTACTACCTGAAAGTGAGATGACTTGAGGAGTCAATTCATAAGGGAAGAAACCCTACGTTCTAACTTTAATAAGACAAGAGAGCCACAAGCTGGCTCCCAGGGATAATAACCCTGATATACAGCAGCAGCAAAATATAAATGCAGGGCAAGGAGCACGAAACACAAACTTGAAATGGGATATACAACAAAACAAAGCAATGGTTCTGTATGGAATAAAACACTGAATGTGAGCCTAGCAGAGATGTATGACCCAGGCAGCACCAAGGAAGCAAATGAGGTGGTTGCCTGGCAAAGACTCTAGATGACTTAAGCTGCTATCTAGTGGTAGTTAGGTGCATCACAGGTTGGAGATTTGCCTTGTGGCATTAATTGTATGTTTACACAGTTTTTATAATGGTTCCTGATTTCCTTCAAGCAGTTGCTTGCATTGATGTGCAAATTCTTTCTAGAGTGATTTTTTTCTGTGTTTGGTTGATCACTGATCCCCAAACTCCCCTCACCTCATAGGGCGAGCAAAATTCTGGTCCTAGCTCCCAGCAGGCTAAAGTGGATCTCTGGTACTTGATACAGTTCCTGAAAACTTGGTAGCATGAGTGCTACAGCTACGGACAGCTGCTAAGGGAGCCCTCTTAGAAAACAATTACTGGTTGAAGGTGTATAGTAAGAGAAAGATGCATTATTCTACTAAAATAATTGTCACATTACTGTTGCCAGAAATGTTAGGATTGGTGCTATTCCAATCAACAGCATGATACAAGTGCTTACAGTTCCTATTATAGTTAGATGGTTGCACACATGTAGTACACATCTGCAACCAATCTATCCGGTATATATATTGTTTTGAAATGTATGTAAACAAAAAAAATTACAATATGAAGACCTAGGTTGCATACTTTTATTTTAAATGCAAATGCTTAATGCTAGAGAAAATATACTCTACTGTACACCAAATATATAACAAAAATATAAAAACAATTAGATTAAATAAATGCTTTGATTTCCAATCATAACCTTTGAGTACCGAGTGTCAGACCTGTGTAAACTGCAGAAGGTTCAGAATGATGGGAGGAAGTGGTAAATTCATAAGTTTCAGCTTATCAAGAGATGCAGGAAGCCCATTCCAGCCTCTGGCCTCGCCTACAGCACGTCGAACTGCCAACACGGACAGTTGTTGCAGAGTCTTCGGGGAACCTGAATTATGAAAGAATGTCCACTGTAATGCATTAAATCTTAAGAAATGTTAACCAAATGTTAGCCCTTAACTCTCAGGCTGTGCACCTGTTAATAGCCGACAACCCTCCCAGGTGCACAAGAAAACAAAAATTCAAAATTTTTTCCCCATCTAATATTGTTAAAATGCATTTCCTGATCACATGAAAATAATAATAAAACAAAAAATCAGCGTTGAATGTAATGAAATGCCATTTCTGGGAAAGCCCCGGAGACTTCCTGGAGCTATCAAGATAATATGCAGTTCATTAGACCAGGACATTAGACAATGGAGTTCAGCCTACTGGGGACCACGAGCCAGAACCTGGCCCCCTCAGAGAGGCAAAGGGAGCAATGGCCTATGAAAATCTCCTTTGTACTTGGGGGCATTCAATGTCTGCCATCGACCAGGGTTACCACCCAAAAAGGTAGGCATAATAAAACAGACCCCACATGGTAAGAAAATTGCAACCGAAAACCGAACAGTGACAGAACTCCCCTCAATCCCCAGGGAAACAAGCAAACATCACACCACGCTGCTCTTTTGTGCAGTTCGGGAGCCCCGGACCCACCGGGCTGGCTACCCAACCGCAGTTCGGAGGCTAAGGAGGGGTCGACGAATCTGGGAAGAGTCGATGCCATATCAAACTCGTATAAGGAGGGGAGGATAAGACACCTCACTCCCTGCAATAACAAGCCTTGCTCAGAGGGTACCAAAACCCAGGTGGGGTTAAACGGGGCCCAAGCCCCCCAAGTCAACTCCTCCCCCGCCCCGGGAACCTCCTCATCAGGACCCAGGGCCAAGTCGTCCTCCAAACCCCTGCTTCAAAAGAAAAGGCAGAAGAAACCGGAAAATCTGAACCGATGGGGGCCCACTGGTCAGGCCCAGAAGCACCGGTTGGAGGAACTGGCTCGAACACCTCCGTTGCCACACCAGATGGGGCATCCCCTGAAACTGCCCAAATCTCACCATTAACTAAACCCTGCCCCGACTCCAAAACTTTCAGATGCTTTGGAGCTGGAAGCAGGGGAGGGATTGGAAGGGGGTGGGGGGGGGGGGGGTTTAACAGGACAAATCGCAAATTGACACGCCAGAATCGCACGACTGCCCAGGTCTCACATCAGCCACATAATGGGGTGTGGATAGCCGGCGCAGGGATCTAGGGCTTCTCCCTTCTGGAGAGGGGGGAAGCTGCGCAGACAGCGGCGAGGTGACATCATGCTTGTTTTTGATTGATGAGTTTTGGCCAAAAGTTCGGCTTTCTGTAGCAATTTGTTAACACATCAGGTTTGTTTTGGGGGCCTACCTTTCTGGGTGCCTGATCTGGTTGATGGCAGACATAGAATGCTTCCAACCACATGGGGGTTTCTATAGGCCATTGCTCCTCATGCCTCTCTGAGGGGGCCAGGTTCTGGCTCGTGGTCCCCGGTAGGCCTAAGAACTCCATTTGCTTTGACTGATGCCAAGATCTAATACATTCATATGCATTCAGCTGCCCTTCAGCTCCCCGGATAGCCCCAGGGAGCTGAAGGGGCTCCCCCTAGAAAAAAATACTTATAAGAGTACTCATAAGTGAGAAAAAAGTAAATATAGTAGTATAGTACAGTAGTACAGTACTTCCTTTGTTTTATACACATTTTTATACATGTACAAACCAAATTAATTCTGGAAACAATCATATATAAACAAAGTTCAAAGCTTAATTTCAATAAGAAAAATATGATATAATTTCTAAGTGTTGAAAGATAATTGAACCAATAATTTAAAGAAGTAGCAATTTAGTTCTAGTTTGAATAATGAGCTGACAAGTTTGACAATGTACTCTCACCATTCTAATACACAAAAACTGTAAATACTTACTGATAGTATTATCAAGGTTGTCCCATGCTTTTGTAATGCTTTCATCATCAACCATTCGGCCTTGGTCAAATAGCAGGCTTGTGTCTAGCACAAGCTGCGGGACAAACAAGTTGAGTGTGTGGAGCCATGATATCACACGCCAAGGAAACATTGAATATACTTTATAAAATCTGAAATAAAATGGCGTACTTACAGTCAGATTAATTTAAAAAAATTTTTAATTAACATTTTATGATTATCAGGAACTTTAGCATGCTAATAATCAAATTTCAAAATAAAACTAAAATCATGGCATAAATCCAAGCTTAAAAACATGAAATAAAATTTATCACTGAAGATTAATTTTACAATTTACAAATTGTTTTTATTCATTCCAAACATATATGAAGTACTAACGTCCTTTTCCTACAGTTTATCCAAGCCACTCCTTAAACGTCGGCATGTTTGAAGGCCAATTATCAGATTAGCGGAAGCAAGGTGAAATTCTCATGGCTGACCTCAGGTCAACTTGAGGTCATTAACGCTTAGAGGTGTGAGATTCAGGCCGACAACCTGGCGCCTCTCAAATCCTTGTCTCTGACTCATGTATCTCTATGTATGTATTAAATAAAACTAAACCAAACACCTTTACGGTGTTACAGATAGATAGATAGATAGATAGATAGCCTGGATAGCTTCGAGGAGCGATGGGGCTTCCCCCAGAAATACTGGAGCATACATTTAACTGCAACTGAATTCTCTCTGGAACATATATTTCCATGGACAAAATTCATCTGGATAATCAAGAAACATTACACAGATGTAGAACTGCACTTACTCAGAGGAGGAGTACTGTTGGCTGAGCTTCTGGAGAGCACTGTAATTGTAGATTTTATTAGCTGGCACACCCTGTTGTAAGAGTTTGAAGAAGGCAACCACATTGAAGAGCGATGAAACATGCAGTGCTACAGGAATAATATCAGTATCCCTGAAAAATAAAAAATCAGCGTTGAATGTAATGAAATTCCATTTTCTGGGTGTGCCGCGGAGGCTCCTTGGAGCTATCAAGCTAATGTGTAATATATTAGACCGGGACATTAGTCTATGGAGTTCGACCTACCAGAGACCACGAGACAGAACCTGGCCCCCTTAGAGAGTTTGCAGGGAGCAATGGCCCTGGAAAAAAAAACCATGTGGTTGGGGTCTTCCTTATCTGCCATCGACCAAGGTTAGGCACTCAGAAAGGTAGACATAACAAAACAAACCCCACTTGGAAATCCCAAGCAAACGTCATACTCTACTACCGCACCACTCGTCCGTACAACCCATCCCCCCCGCCAGACCTCCCCCAAGCCGTCTACCCAGCACTCCAGTTCGAAAGCTTGCGTCAAACAAGGCAAAAAACTGCCGACAGGAGGGAGGGAGGGTTGCCAGGGAGCTACATGACCAAAGATAAGGAAAAGAGGGACCTACATGGGAGGCAGCTGCCACACATTCCTCAACGCGAAGTCGAGACAACTGGCTGCAACCTGCGACCCAAAGCAACACAGGAACGCCCAGGAGCAGGAACGTTAACCAAATAACGGGCGGGCAGTGACAGTATTTGGCATCAAATGATGGTCCTGAAAAAGATTAGATTAGAAATAGAAGTTAACCTACAATGAGAGAAAATGGCAGAAAGAATGCCAAGAAACTTCACACTGTTGCCGAGACGAAGATCTCAGGTGGGACACCATCAACGAAGCCACCTGATCACCATACAAATGGTGATAAACCCACATCAAAAAAACCAGACACGAAGAGCGGAGGAGAAGACCGAACCAGCAGTGTACCGGACCGGTCCGACATGCTGGAAGAGGCGGAGCCACGGAAAACATCCAGGGTTCGCACACCAAGCAAGCAGCGCCTAGAAAAAAAAGCTGGGCCGGCCACCAAGTTGTCATGAGGACTACTCTCCCATGGTAGGACTAACCTCGACCAGTCCTGCTGTAAGGTGTCCACCGCGACAGCCTCGCAGTCGGGGAAGGGCACAACATCGATCAGAAGACGCTGAGACCAAGTCAACACAAAGAGGTCAAAGTCCGGGAGTCCATACGTCTGCCAGAGCCAACAGAAGGAGTCAGCATCAACCATCCATTTTATTGACAGGGTAATGAACCGAGACAGGCCATTGGACACTCCCCAGATATGAACCGCACCCAGAGCCAAACCCTGAGAAGCCAGCAGATGAGCCACTCGAAGAGACCAGTCCTAAAGAGGCAAGGACCGAAGAGAACCCGCATGGTTCAGGCAACGAAACACTGGAGAACAGTCTGAATGGAGCCAGATGGTCCAACCCCAAGTGACCCGAACCCTCCCAAGCAACAGCCAAACCGCTGCAAACTCCCACACCGTGCTGTGAGCCCGACAGACCCCATTGCTCATGGCCAGTCTGATGAGTACTGGTCACAAAGCCCCAGCCGAGAGATGATGCGTCCGTGAACACATTGAGCGAGGACTCGGGTAGGCGCCAAGGCACTGAACCCTGAAAACTCCCCGAAGAGGAAACCAGCAACGCAGCAACTGATGCAAGACCCCCTGGAGTACAAGCCCAGCGATCGCAAGACAAGCGGAAGGGATGTCCCCGAAGGAACCAGAACAGACGCTGAAGCCCAACCTGACCCAACGGGCAGACCAGCACGGCGAAGTTCAAACTCCCACAGAACTGCTCAAGCAATCGCCGAGTTACCCGGGACCCCCTTCCCCCTCCAAAACAGCTGAAGGCGAGACCGCAGCCTCAGTAACACCTCCAGAGGGGAGACATGGAAGCGGTCTGAGAGTCCCAAACAAGACTCAGCCAGGTCTGAAACTGGGACGGAACCAGATGGGACTTCCTCCAGATCACCAGGAACCCTAACCCGGCGAGCTGGAAAAGAACCACACTCCTGGCGAGCAGACAAGTGGACTGACTGGAAGCCCACACCAGCCAGTCGTCGAGGTAGGCCAGGACCCGAACCCCTAGCAGACGCAGACGGGGTCACCACGACCCGGGTAAGTCGCCTGAACATGAGAAGTGCCAGATTCAATCCAAAAGGAAGGCAACAAAAGCAGTAAGCCTGATGCCCACCATGAAACCTAACCGGTCCGTGAACCCCGGATGAATAGGGATGTGCCAATACATGTCCCTGAGGTCCAGGGACACCATACAAGTACCCGGCTCCAAAAGAAGCCGGACCTGAGACAGAATGGTCATCCAAAAGGAGAGGCAAGGAATCCAGTAGTTCAAATGGGGCAATGGGTACGAAAAAACCCTCCCTTGCAACAACAAGCCCTTTCAAAGAGGGTACTAACACCCAGGCTGGGTCAAAGGGGGCCCAAGGCCCCCCCCAGGTCAACTCCTGCCCAGTCCCGGAATCCCCCAAGTTAGGACCCGCGGCAAAACAATCCTCCATACCCTCTACCCCTGAAGAAAAGGCAGTGTCCAGGGGAAAGGCTGAGAAGAAGGAGGGCCTGGTGGTGGGACCCAAATGCCTCTGTAGGAGAAACCGGCTCGAATGCCTCCGTCCCCAACTCGAATGGGGCAGCCCCCAAAACTGTCCGAATCTCATCACCAACTAATCCCTGCACAAACTCTGAAACACTCAGACATTTGGGAGCCAGAAGCAGGGGGGGAGAAGAGGGAAGAATGGGGAGCAGGGTGAACAATGGGAAGGACCAGGGAGAGCGGACTGAACCAAAGTCGAAGCGACTAATGCTTCCAGTTCCAGATTTCTATATAACCAAAGCAACGCAGCCGCGGGGCATTCGGGTGGGAAACCAACCTAGCACATAGCAGCAACCTGAACCAGCCCGGGCAAGGTGTTGCTAACGGTTAAGACCCAAAGCTAACAATGATGGGGGGGGGGGAGATTAAAACACTGAAACCCCTGCGATGTGTACAATCACAGGGGCCTAACAGAGGGCCACTAAAATAAAAGAAGTGGAATTATAACCCAACTGGCAGACCCCCCCTAAAAGGCAAAACACCGCCGATGGAAATCGAGGCCAGAGAAGACATCCGCCCTGGATCACATTAGCTAACAAACTAAGAGTGTTGGGTAGCCGGTGGGGAGAGGTTCGGGCCTCCTTGGGGCTCCAGGGGGGGGGGGGGGGAGAGGGCTGCGCGGACAAGCTGAACGGCAGTGGAGTGTGACGTTTGCTCGTTTGCTTGTTTCCATGGAATTGGAGGGAGTTCTGCCTCTGTTCGGTTTTCAGTTGCCATTATCTTGCTATGTGGAATCTGTTCGGTTTTCTTTGTACTTTTCTTACTAAGTGGGGGGTTTGTTTTGTTATGCCTACCTTTCTGGGTGCCTAACCCAGATCAATGGCAGATAAGGAAAACCCTCAACCGCATGGGGGTTTTCCAGGGCCATTGCTCCCTGAATCCTCTCTGAGGGGCAGGTTCTGGCTCATGGTCTCCAGTAGGTCAAACTCCACAGACCAATTCCCTGGTCTAATATATCACACATTAGCCCGATAACTCCAGGGACCCAAAGGTGGCTCCCCACAGGAAAAGGGAGAAAAATATCGAGATGTAATAATAATAATAATAATAATTCATTGTGTCTGGGGACAGGCAGCCAGTGTATATATACATGTTGGGCTTATAGCGAAGTTCCCCCCTCCCCCCCACCAAGGTCGAATTATTGACCTTCACCAGGATGCAACCACACAAGCTGACTAACTCCTGAGTGCCCATTTACTGCTAAGTGAACAGGGCATTAGTGACAGGAAAAGCACCCAACCATTTCTGTTCCACCTGCGATTCAAACCAAGAATTCCCGTAGAGTAGAGAACGTGAGTAGAGAACAAACGCAACTTTACTATCCAGGACCCTGAAATACCCTCTATCTCTATAAAGTCAAAAATACAGTTAATAGCACGTTATTACCATTTCTCATAGGCAAAAGTACATGACAGTACTGTAATGCAAATGCCTGCGATGAGTCACAATAATGTGGCTGAAGATATGATGACCAAACCATGCACCAGAAAATGAGGAGACGACAACATTTCAACCCGTTCTGGACCAATATCAAGTCGATTGTGATGGGAGCGAGGTGGTTGTTGTTTAAGATTCAGCTACTGGGAACTAAAAGTTCCAAGTAGCACGGGCTATGGTGAGCCCGTGATGGACTTACCTGGCACAGGAGCGGGGCTGAAAACCAGGGAGCGAGGGAGGCACAGGCATTAAGTAAGGCAAGAGTAAGGTGAAGAGCAGGTAAGAGGAGGTAATTCCTAGAAGGAGGTAAGAGCAAGGTGAAAGGTAAGAATAAGAAGAAAGGTATGGATGGGATGAGTGTAATATGGGATGATGGAAGAATGGGAACGTAAGAATAAGAGAAGAAAGAAAAAGAGAAAAAGGGGGGGATAGGCATATGTAAGGTCACGTCTGTTATAAAGGTTATAGCATTTCAGTGTGTAATGTATAAGAGAAGAGCCAACAGCAACAAAGCCAGGACTAAGGTTCATGTTGCGTATGTGGTGTATCGGAGCCGATTCGACAAGACGGTGTCTGGGAAGAGTAGAGGCAGGAAAGATTATTTTAGAAGGAGGGGAAGGGAACCATAAGGAGAAAGCACCAAGTCATTACAACTAAACATTTTAAAAGAAGACCAATCAATAGGATGATTAAAATCCCTAACATGACAGAAGAGAGCATTGTGTCTACACAATGCTGTAAAGAGTTAAACGTTTCTCATATACATTCTACTAAAATAAATCTCTGGTAATGTTCTTATCTAGCAATTACTGTAATTTTAATACATGCTATCCTAATTAAACCTGTTAATTTTCCAATACTGTACTACAGTATGTCTTTAACCTTTCATGGAATTAATTTTCAAAACCTTATTACCTACTAAACTAGATCTTTTCATATATATAAATAGCTATATCTAAAACATTTGCAGAACATGACATCCCCTCCCCCCATCCCCCTTCTCCCCGTGTCCTCCCCCCCCCTTCTCCCCGTGTCCTCCCCCCCCCCTTCTCCCCGTGTCCTCCCCCCCCCTTCTCCCCGTGTCCTCCCCCCCCTTCTCCCCGTGTCCTTCCCCCCCCCTTCACATACATGGATTGAATACTGATAAGCTCCTAATTGCTTATCTTATTATAAACTCCACACACACACAAACAACACCGACAAGCTCTTATTTCCTGCATTAACAGTACAAAAATAAGAGCCAATCCTCATGTTTAGACAGTAGTTATAGTAACCATGTGGACTATCATATATATATTGAAATGGTGGACAATTACAAAGTAGAGTTTGGTACTGTTGAATTTGAACAAACTGGAAACGGTTTTGTATTTGCGTTGCTAACAATAAAACCTAACCTACCATAACCTAACCATCCTATGCCTGATACACATTACATTAGGTCTAATATAGTGCATAAATGTGCTATACTAGGCCTAGGAAAATAGTAGTTAGGTTTTAAGTTTTAGATTTCCACTTTTATAAAGTGAATAATACTAAATTCTACTATCTGATTGTCCATTACATCAATATATATGTACGATTGTCCACCTAGTTCAATCAGAAGGACTATGTCAGAAGGACACAGCTGCTCTGGAGAAGGTGCAACACCAGGCAACAAAAGTAATTCCAGAGCTAAGTCAATTCTCATATCAGGAATACTTGAAGGCCACAGGGCTAACAAGACTGTAAACCGGGCACAACAGGTGGATCTCACTGAACTTTTAAAATACTGAACAAGTTAAAAGATGTTGATCCAGATAATGTCTTCAGAAGGTCAGATGTAACACAAACAAGGAGCAACGGATTCAAGCTCAACAAGCCACAATGTAGGACTGAGAACAAGAGATGCTTTTTCACCTACAGGGGTTATTAACCCATGAAACCGCCAACCTACCGAAACCATAACTGCAAAAACTGTGTTGAATTTCAAAATATACCTGGAAAAGATCATCAAGGCAAATGAGGGGGACCTTCAACAAGCCGCCAGCTTCCTGTCCTCGTTGAGGCCACCAGGGTTAGTAGCCCTCAGGTAAATCAGGTAAAAAGCCCTCAGGTCTAAACAGGACAAGTTGTAAAATAAATAAAATATAAATAAGGTACTGTACCTTATTTTGTACATAACATCTGCCCCATGATCTAGTAAATACTGGACGATCTCCGAGCCCAGACAACCCTCACTGTAGGAGATGCGCTGATGCTTGACAGCTGCCGCTAGGGGCGGGAGGCACTCGCTGTTCACTGCATTGACACAGCTCCCTATATTACAAAAAATAAGGAGAAATGAGAACATTAGTAAACCAATACATATATGAACAACAGTATAGACAACCGAGCAGCTCTCGTTCCCTAAAGCTGTTCAGACTGAATTTACAATACTGTAACTACAACAATAATATGTCCCCCAAATAAATTTGATGGAAAAAACATGACACCAAAGGGAACCACAATACATTATTTTATTTAGTTCATTCCTCATTAACATCACTATTTGTGCAATTTTTAACAATTCACAATCAGGACTAAAACCCACAGCAAAAGTTTCCTGCTATGCTACTGATTTAGTTTAGCTTGCACCTGTCAAAGATATACTGTACTGAAAATGAATGCAGTATTCTATGTGGAAATATGCTGCTACATACAGCCTAACTTTCAGTCCAAGTAAATATACTTGGCATTATTTAACACAAGTTTTGGATTTTCCGGGCTTGAAATTTCAAAGGTACTACATGGCTGGAATATGCATAGACAATTTTTTTCCATGCCCGATGTTATTTTTCTGTGTGGAGCCCCTTCGGTTCCCTGGAGCTATCAGACTGATATGCGATATATTAGTCTGGGGAATCAGTCAATTGGAGTTCAGTCTACCGGGGACCACGAGCCAGAACCTGGCCCCCCTCTTAGAGAGGCAGTGGGAGCAATGGCTCATGGAAACCCCCTTATACTTAGAATGCCCCTATGTCTGCCATCAACTGGGGTCAGCACCCAGAAAGGTAAGCATAACAAAACAAACCCCACATGGTAAGAAAATTGCAACTGAAGACCGAACAGAGGCAGAACTCCCCCAACCTAAAGAACAAGCAAATGTCACACCCCACTACCGAGTCACTTGTCCGCGCAGCCCTTCCTTCTCCTTCCCAGGAGGGGGAAAGCCCTGGACCTCCCCATGCCAGCTACTCAATACATCATCAAAACATCATGGCTGAGCATCAAAAACGTTGACTGAGCATCATGACATTGGCTGAGCATCAAGACAATGCAAAAACTGCCGACCGGAGGGAGGGAAGTGTGCCAAGGAGCCTCTGAGGGCTCACCCAGAAAATGGCATTTAATTACATTCAACGCTGGTTTTCTATGGGGAGCCCCTTCGGCTCCCTGGAGCTACCTAACCAAAGACAAGAAAAAGAGTGACTTACTCGGAAGGCGGCCGCCACTTGCTCCTCAACTTGAAGTCGAGACAACTGGCCGAGTTCCTGCGACCCAAAGCCACACACACAAACAACCAAGACCAGGAATGTTGACAAAATAACAAGCGACCAGGACCCTGTTAGATCTCCAAAATCCCCGAGCCCGAATGTCAGCCCAAGACATGATGCCAAAGACGGCAGTTAAAGCAGCAAACTTATGAACGTCATGGGCACGATGATAGTCTGCAGGCTGACTAGACCTAATAACCTGGTGGATGAGCTGGAAGGCCCGAGCCCTAGAACAGGGAACGATGGAAACTGGATCAACTCAAAGCACGTCCCAGGCCACCGAAGCCGAGGCACGCAAATAACACCGAAGAGCTGCAACCGGACACAACACATGATGCACCCCCGCCTTACCAATCATCAATGACCCAAGGGCCCCTGAAAGCTGCCATCTCCTTCTTCGCCAGAAAAGATGGAGACAGCTGCAAGTGAACGAACTGACCACCAGGTATGAAGGAGTAGAAACCAAAGCCAGAGGAGAGCATGAAGCTCACCAACTCAACCCCCAGAGGCCAATGCCAACAGAAAAAGAGCCTTGGAAAAACAATCTTGAACCGAATGGGCCACCACAAGCCGAGAAGAGAAAAAAGGAAGCACCCTGTCCAAGGACCAGGACGGCTCAGGCAGCGCATGAGCAGGCCGGAGGTGAAACAAAGCATGAGAAAGCTTATGGAACAGGCTCTGCCAGCGCTGCACGACATGAGGTGACAGTATTAGGCATCAAATGACGGTCCTGAAAAAGCCAAGAAAGAAAATACAAGACAACCCAATCAGAAATAGAAGACAAACAATGTACAGTAGAGACAGAAAATGGCGAAAAGAATTGCCAAATCATTGACCCAGCAGGCAGCATGACAGAGGCAAAACAGGTAACTGTCATCCTGAGACATGGTCACAGAGCAGCCTTATCAAAGCTCAAAAGTTTGAGTTTTTTTAACTCAAAAGACGCATCCATTGGTCAAATGAGTACCAATGGGGATTTCCAGGGCCTGTAGGCTGACTGCTACAGGAAGCCCAGGTAAGGTACTGCAAAACCAGTTAGGCCCAAACTAACAAGGGAAAACTGCTAAAGCTGAACCCTTGCAACGTATGCAATCACGAGGGCCTAGAGGAGATTATCTTAAGAGGTTATCTCGAGATGATTTCGGGGCTTAGCGTCCCTGCGGCCCGGACCTCAACTAGGCCTCCTTTTTGTTACACACCCCTAGTTAACAGGCCGTAGCAGCTGTCTAACTCCCCGGTACCTATTTACTGCTAGGTGAACAGGAGCATCAGAGTGAAAGAAACTCTGCCCATTTATTTCCGCCTCCACCGGGGAGGCCAAAGAGGGCCACCAAAATAACAGAAGTGGACCAATAGCCGAACAAGGCAGACCCCCCCCTCCAGGCAAGGAAAACAAAGAAAATAAAAAACTGCAAAAGTACTACGTCCCCAGAAGGAACAGAAACTTGCCGCCGTGTAGGTAGGCAACCTGCGCAGTACATTGCGCCCCACCAGCAAACGATACCACCTCCTACCCCAAGGCCTAACAAAGGCCATGAAAACCCCAGCTGGCCCCAAGAGCGGTGTAATTACCGAGCAGCAAAGACCCCTATGGAAGTGCTTCCCGAAAGCTCTATGGAAGAGAAGCCTAGAACTCGAGGATAGTACCTACACGGCACATAGGGAAGATAGCCCTAAGCGTATGCAACCACAGTACAGTACTCTCAAATTTCTCCTGGCTGCCGCACCACAAACAGCAGAACACACAGGGGGAACACCTCGGGACCAAAGAACCAAAGCTCAACCCCTGCAAGCACAACTAGGTGAGTAGACCACTAAGGTACACAACTGCCAAGAATCTGAGGCCAGAGTCAACGACCACCCCAGATCGCATCAGCCAACAAACTGGAGGTGTTGAGAAGCCAGCGTGGAGAGTCTGGGGCTCTCCCCCTCGGACAAGCGGCGTGGCGGTGGGATGTGACGTTTGCTTGTGTTTTAGGTTGGGAGAGTTTAACCTCTCTGTTCGGTCTTCGGTTGCAATTTTCTTACCATGTGGGATCTGTATTGTTATGCTTACCTTTATGGGTGCTAACCCCAGTCGATGGCAGACATGGAATACCCCCAAATATAGGGAGATTTCCAAAGGCCATTGCTCACTTTGCCTCTCTGAGGGGGCCAGGTTCTGGCTTGTGGTCCCCGGTAGGCTGAACTCCAATTGACTGATGCCCCAAACTAATATATCGCATATCAGTCTGACAGCTCCAGGGAATCAAAGGGGCTCCACACAGAAAAATAACATCGGGCATGAAAAAAAATTGTCTATGCATATTCTAGCCATCAGCCATCCTGTCTATGTATCAACATGTTGTATATTGGATGATAAAGTAGTAATTCTAGAAGAGATTCTGGTTTAGTCTGTCTTAGCCTCCTTGTGATTCAATTACCATGTTCCAAGGTTTCAGTACACACTTGAGAGATGGGTGTCAAGTTATCTGTGAAATACAATGAGTGTTTCCACCATGGTGTGCAACTTTCTGAACTGATACAATTCCAAATGTATACTATCCAAATTTCATTTCTTTTCACTACAGGTATTATGCGATAATCCTAAGCCATGAATATTTTACAATACTGAACATTTGAGAAAGTCAGTCCACAGGGAAAGGAGGGAGAATGAAAGAAATTTAATAAAAAGACAATCCATAGTAGATTATCACACAGGCCTGTGTCAAAAAGAAAAAAAAAAAAAAAAAGGCAACTCAATTGTTAAACTTTGACTACCATTACTACCAACCTCTGTCGATCATAAACTTTGCTGTGTCCACTCTCTCTCTTGTTAATGGCTTGGAAAGGAGAAAACCAAGTGGGGTATCAACTCTTGTTCCCAAATGTAGCACCAGAGGTACCTACAAAGAATTGTATACAAAAATTATGTTAGGAATTACTTTTTCCCATATCCAAAACATCATCTCCTACTTTCTCATGGGCATATTATTCATCGTGGAAGTGCATAAAATCAGAGCTTAAGTATTTTTAATGCATGGTCCACATACCTGCCTGGATTACCCAGTAGGAGTATGAATCTCTGTACACGCACACACACACATACAAATCTCCAATAAGCAGCCCGTAGCAGCTGTGTAATCTTATGTACCTATTTACTGCTAGGTGAACAGGCCCATCAGGTGAAATAAACTCCGCCTCGCCAGAAGAGAGCACGAAGCACCTCGACCCGACCCCTAGAGGTCAACGCCAACAAGAAAAAGAGCTCTGAAAACAATCCAGAACCGAAAGGGGCCACAACAAACCGAGAAGAGAAAAGAGCACCCAATCCAAAAACCCAGACGGCTCAAGCGGCGCAAGAGCAGGCCGGAGGTAAACCACGCCAGAGGCAGTTCGCAAATTAGTACAGAGGGAACACCAAAACCGAAGCAACCCAGAGGGGCTACGCCAGTGCCGCACAAGACAAGGCAACAGTATGTGGCAAGATGACAGCCCGGAATCTCCACAAGAGAAGGACAAGACGACGCCAACAAAATGTAACAAACCTATGAAGGGACAAAAAGAAAAAGGAAGGACCGCCAAAAAAACTACACCGCTGCCGAAACGAAGCACGCAGGTGGAATACCATCAACGAAGCCACCTGAACCCTAACAGATGGTGAGAGTCTTGAGGCAGAACCAAACCAGCCCCACCAAAGGCCGACCAAGAATGGGAAGAGGCGGAGCCGCAGGAAAACCTTGGGTGCGAACACCGAGCAAGCAGAGCCGGAAACCCAAGCTGGCAAGAAACGAGATGGAACGTCTGCCATACAAAAAACTTCCCAATGCTAGCGAGCTTGTCAGGTGATCGGAGACACTGTGGTTCCAACACGAGACTCATGAGAAGTGACCCCCCGAGATCAGGAACGCGCCAACTGGCAGGGTAAGCCAGGAAACCAGGAACCCAAACCCAGCAAGCTGGGAAAGAACCAACCCTGCGAGCAGACACGCACCATCCGGGAGGAACTCCCTGGGACCCCAGAAGGACCAACAAGTCCGACAATGAATGACAACTAGAAGGTGCCAACTAAAATGCCGAACTGCAGACGCCGCAAACAGCAAGGACAATTATGTTACAAAAAACCAGGGCCCAGGCCTAGGCCAACGAGGAAGCGAGCACCACGAGCCGAAATGCAAAGCGAAAAACAGGGACGCCGCATCCTGCAGGAGCGGCGAACGCAACCCCAGCAGGGCAGAACGAAGCACGCGATGCCGAGGAAGGCATTAGGAGAACTAACCAGGAGGTGAACAGCACGAAAACAAAAATGCACCGCCCGAAGAGAACACAAAGAAAAAGGCCGGAGCCAGGGCCTGAAACCCAGCACCTCCAGGCCCAACAAAAGAAACTGCAGGGGCAGGAGAGGAAGAATGGAAGCCACATCCTCCAGCATACAGGGCAACCCAGATGCTGGAAGTACCAAACAAGGAGAAGATGAAAATTCAGGACCATAACCGAACACAGGGGCGGGTCAAAAGCAGGGAATTGAACATGGACAAAGACCAACCTAGCATGAACATGAGTAGAGCCAAGAAGCACATACGAAAAAACACCAATGTGTAGTAGAGAATTTGAAAAACAGAAAACGCAAGAAAAAGACCAGAAAGACATTCCTAGCTGCTTGTGCTTTGACTAAGTATGTAGAAGCAAAATGAAAAACGAAGAAGACAGGCAGCAATCGGGAACGAAATGGACATGACCCACTACACAGAGAATCCAATGCAAACGGAAGGACTCAGCTAGGCACTGCACGACGGTCAAGGAACGAGTCATGAGGCAATAAAGGACCCAGGCACAGAAAGACTAAAGAATGACCCCAAAAAAATGGGGCCGTGCCCCACCGTGTAACGAACAACACAGACAGACAAGGAAGGTCACGGGAAGAAGCACACAACGAGTCAAACAAAACGCTACAACCAATCCCCAACACTCATCCAAAAACCACAAACCAGCACTTGGCTGAAAGACGCCAGACTGCATAAGCTCACCTGCAGAGTATAGGCACTATCGTGTCACGACACATCGTAGCCGAGAATATTCCAGGAGCATTGCTAATGGAATAAGGCCAGAGCCGCAGGTGCAGGAGAAGAGTATGGTAGAGACGGATGCGGCGCCACACATCCATATGCAGAGAAAAGAACTAGGCGTCCCCCATATAGTAGTAATCCAGAACACCCCCAGTATCTCTCAGACTGGAGAGATAAGAGGAGCGAGAGCGGCGAATCACCCGAGAGAAAAAGTATGTGGGACACCAACACTTGTGTACACCGTCCATAAACAAAAACTCCCACGGCGCATGCGCAGGACGCATAAGGTCCGACCATACAACCCGCCCGGCGGGGAGGGCGTCAACTTGGAGTATGTAAGGAACATTATCAATGCCGAGACAGAGCACGGAGAGAAAATTTAAGTACAAAAGAATGAGATATTACCGAAAACTAAGAAGAAGCACGAAAGAGGACCAACGAGTCCAAGAAAGGACTGGAGGTAAGCCTCACAGGAAGACGACAGACGTTCCAATAACACGGGAAGTATAGAAGACCTTCCCGAACCTTCGAGATCCTACAGAAGCAAACACAAAATCACAAAGGCTCAAAAAGGCACAGTCGCACCCGAGACCAAAAGTCATGCAGGATTCTGATACGAGGAGAACATGACCTCGACATGACGGAGAATCCATGTCCCAGAGAAGAAGGGCGAGAAAATGGAGAAGAGTACTCACCGACAGGACGGAACCGACAGACCCGAAAGGACAAGGAACCGAACCGAGGGAGGGGTCGACGCCCAACTACTCGTACGCAGAGGGGGAAAGGAAAAGCCCCACTCCCCGTAACTGCAAGCCCCGCCCAAAGGGTAGAAAAAGCCAGGCGGGGTCCAACGGGACCCAAGGCCCCCAAGTCAGCCCCTCCCCAGTCCCGGGAACCTCCATGGCAGGACCCGGGACTGAGCTGTACCCCCAAAGCCCCAGCCTCACAAGAAAAAGCCGGGGCAGCCAGAGAAATACTAAGGAAGGGAGCCGACTGGTAGACCCATATGTCACGGCTGGAGGAACAGGCTCGAATGCCTCCATCGCTATCCCAGAAGGGGGAAATCCCCGAGACCATCCGAGTTTCAAGACCATTGAGACCCCGTCCCGACCCTGAACCCACAGACAGTGCGGATCCGGATGCAGGGAGGAAGGGTGGGGAGGGGGGGAGGGGACAGACTCAACCACAACAGGGAAAAGACAAGGGGGCGTGGACGGAAACAAAACTGAAGCGACCAACACCCCCAAGCCCCAGGCACAACAACCAAACCAGGCAGCCTTGGGGCTTCCAGGGAGCCCCAGGCAGTGCAGTGACGTGGCGACGTCATGCTCGTTAGCACGTTTTTATTTTGGGAGTTTTGTCCACTAGTTCAGCTCTCAGTAGCAATTTCTTAACCAGAATAGGGGTTTGTTTTGGGATGCTTACCTTTATGGGTGATTGACCCGGTCAATGGCAGACAGAAAGCTTCCAACGACATGGGGGTTTCTATAGGCCAGTGCTCCTCGTGCCTCTCTGAGGAGGGCCAGGTTCTGGCTCGTGGTCCCCGGTAGGCCTAAAGAACTCCATACACACATGACTGATGCCAAAGTCTGACATTAGCAATACTGTATCCGTCTGGATAGCTCCGAGGAGTCGACGGGACTTCCCCAGAAAATAACAAATTCAGCCCAAAAGTACCAAAAGGATGTAACCAATTTAAGTTTACCAATCATCAAATTAAATTTTCCAATTTTGTTGTATTGCTAGGATGGATGCTCTGCTCAGACAAGTATATTACACCATACTAGATTACAAATTAAGAGGTAGCTAACCTGACGAAAGAGATTGACATCAACTTCATCAAGTGCAGCATTGCTACACTCCTGTAGGAACCTGTCCGGTGGCACTCCAGCCTCTACCAGAGTCCTCAAGCTGTTGAACCTGATGAATTATATCTTGATTAATGCTCACCTCAAATAAATAACTTTTTACATAACTGTTAACCACCTGAGAGTGGCTATCAAAACAATTGACATCTCACCTATGCATTCAAGAAAATTGTTCTTACAAAATACTGTAAACCTGTACATACAGTAAACCTGTACATAAGTACATACAGTAAAACCTGTAAATACTGTAATATATTTTGCATAAAAAAAGGCCAAGTCCTTTCTGTCTTATACACAATCAGAGAAATCTCAGACTGAGTTTTAATGTATTTACAATTACACTTTGCAATCTCTTATAATTGTAATATTCATCTCTTGTTCCTCTAGACCTCATGTTATGGGATATTACATGGGGAAACAATTATTAAAATACCTATGCACAAATTATTTATATAACTGCTGCATTTTGATTTCCTTCTGTTACATCAATGATTTTGTCACAGTGATCAACTACTGCACTTGTATGCACTTGTTGCTGTAAATGAAGAACTAATGTATATGATGCCTCATAATTTTAGAAGGATTCATTTACACAAATACTTGTGTAAATAAACAGAATTTTACTATTTACTCTTATTATAATGGAACTAAATATTAATGAAGCAGGAAAGAAATAAGAATAGTAATTGGAGTGCGAGTTAACTCTCCCATGGGTTAACAATCGCAGGATTGAAAGCTGTCAAACATGGCATCAAATCCCGATTCAACATCATACCTTACTGGCCTCACAAAAGATCCACTTTAATTTCTCCATTTTAAGTTCATCTAAATCATCTTGTAGCAATTTTGAGTCTTCTAATTGATTTCCCACCATAAAAACAAAACATCAATATTCCATAAAATATTAGACCAGTAGTGCGAGTATATGGTATACAGGTGATTTCAGGTTAATAGTGTGGTTCATCCACTTTTAACTTTTTTGTAGGGCTGGTATTCAATCCCTGATGGTCCAAGTGGATTGGCACCATTCCTTCATTGTGATGACCAGTCATTATCAAGTCGCGTGTTGTCAACACACACTTGATAATGGTCCAGGACGGACCGAAACGTCGTTGTTTCCATCTTCTGATGGGTGGTTTGGTCCTCATATCTTCAGGCCCATTATTGTGACTCATCTTCTGCATTCCTTCCTCGAGTCCTTGTACCCCTTTCCAAGTACTAGTACGTACTGTCTAGCAATACTGGTTTAGCACGGAAAACAAAACAGAACTGGGCAATGAATTATATTTGTTATACTAAGGCTAGTGATGCTCTATCCACTTAACATGACTTTTGACTATTTGCCTGCTTACTTTCCCACCTCCCTCTCTCTAAGTGTTCATATGAGTGGTGAAGTTGACTGATCCCAGCATGCAATCCCCTACTGATATCATTTGTAATTATTTACTTTATACCTTTGGAGTATAAAATGTAGGATTATTGACAGTTGTGAGTGATAGTGTACCTGTTCAAAAACCACGTAAACCTATTCCACAAAGCTCACTATAAGGAGTGTTACCTATCCAACATAACATTAAGAGAGAGTTGCCATAACTATATACTAAAGTTAGGCATCTCTATTCCCAGTCACACAAAAAATAAGCATACAGTATCTCTCCCACACCACAACCAGAGGACACAATTACTGTACCTATTCCACTCTACAGCCAAGTGGTAGAGGCTATACTTGAGAGTTTCTGTTGACTTGGGAACAAGAAGCTCCATGGAGGTGAGCCCGAGGAGCTTTTCTAAAAGATCGCTGCACCCTCGGTCAGCACTGGTCTCTCTCTCTTCTTCACTGCAACAATAATTTGGTTACAAATTAAAACTGATAATAGTACTTATTCACTGCAAATTTAGCAAGATATACGTAATATATAAGAGAAATATTACAACGGGTAAACAAATATTTCCATTTACCTTAATATCCTACTTGTCAAAACTACAGTATACACTGTATATAAATATTATTGTATACACAGAATGCCTAAATAAGCTTAAATCTTACAACTGCACATAGCACACATTTTCCCTGTAAATATATATGCATGGCAATCACACTATTGTTAAAGTTCAATGGCTCCTAGTATGGCTGCCCTGCACATTCTAACACTGGATAATGTGCCAGACATGGCCCTAAATCTGCTTATTAAGGCCCTTGAAGGAAAGCAAGAGACTTGGGACTTTTTTTCAAGATGGGAGGACGGTTACTGGAGGCCTGAGGAAGCAAATGTGAGCCCCTTGTGTGTGTGTGTATGGGGGTTTTAAATTTTATGATAGGCCTAATTTTATGATAGGCCTAAAACAACGCTGGTTGTGGTGTGCATATTAATGAAACCGCCCTTGTTATGATGAGCAGTTGCAAGGTTAAGGACAAGGAGTTGGAGCTCCACAAAAAAAAAAAAACAGTGAGATGACCTTCAGGAGTACCTTGATGACAAGCAGCAGAGAGACAAGGTTAAGCCAACTGTATGGGAAGCATGGATAAACCATCCAGCATGAAGGCTCACTTAGAAGGTGTTGGTAAATTCAATACAAATCTTACAATATTGTCACAATCAAGTGTTAGTCATGATGAAATGTAACAAATTTAAATTTCTTCCCATTTGGCTGAGCACCTTCTTTGTGGACATGTTGCCTTTTGTCATCGTTGAACACAATTCTTGGAGAACTCTGTCATCCCCCGTGTCGATAGCCAACACTTAATATCTAGGCAGGCATTTACCAGATGTATCAAAATGAAGTACATTTTGATTGGCACATCCATATACAGTACTTTGGTTGATGAAAATTTTCAAAAAGTAATATTGCAGAGACTTACTTTCAGGTTAAAACTCCACAAAAGCAACATATTTTAAATCTGTAATTCCAAACTTTTTTGTTTGTTTTTTAACTTTTTAATTTTGTTTCCACTCGAAATAAATATTTTAAGGTTAGACAAGAAAAGGCAGCATGTGAAGGATGTCCTCAATTCTGGTTTCTACTATGGCAGACATTTCGAGTGCCCACAGGTACGTAGTTTAAATTTTATTTAAGTTACTTATTACTTCAATCAAAAAGTGAATGAGTATTTTAAACAAATCCTTTCAATGCTGTTAAAATATAAATTAGAATACAGGTACAGTACTACATTCCAATTCAAAAAATATTTCCAGTATTGCTAAGCAAATCTACAAGGAAGGGGAAAAAAATTAATTTAATTCTAGACAAAAGGTAGAACTAACCTAAAACTGCACAACTGCTGTTCACTGTAATCCACACAAAATTCAATGGCAAAATGTAGTGCCAACACACCGTCATTTTTCATTATATTTACATCAGCACCAAGCTCTAGCAGCTTGTTTACCCCTTCCTTCCAATTGCTCTGAACAGCCAGCATGAGTGGTGTTGTGCCGTCCTGCATTCTAAAAGAAGGATAGTACAAAATACATTAATTGTTGGGTATTTAAAAATTTGTATCTGCTATGATACTCAAGTCCTGAAATAACATGGACTACTTTACATCAATCAATTAGTTTTCCAATTTAAGCAATTTTCCTACAATAAATGTTAAAGACAAATGAGAGTACATAATAAAGATTTCACATAGCACGAGTTTACTCAGGACATCCATGTTTAACAAATCTACTCTCATTCTTTTCTAGCAAATTTGAAAGTCAATGATGGAAAAGATTGCAACATTATATACAAGTATTTAGAGTTTAGTAAAGCCTTTGATGCTGTCCCTCACGAGAGGTGGATTAAGAAAGTCAAGGTGCATAGTAAAGGGAGAGATATTAAATTAGATTACGGCATATTTATCTCAAAGGAAACCGACAATCACCATAAAAGCAGTCTTGTTTCAGATAAGTGCCATCCATGGCTCTAACCCGAGACTTATATTGTTTAGTATGTTAAAATTTATTTATTAGGAGTCAGACTTCTCCACAAATAACCTACAATTAAAGATAAAATTAATTACCTTGCATTTACATTACTGCCTTTTTCCAAAAGCAGCTCAAGAACTTTTAGGGCATTTACATCTTTATTCTGATTGTATGTGAGCACGTGTAAAGCTGTCCGCTGAGAGTCGTCAAACTTGTTTACATCTGCACCTTTCTCCAAAAGCAACTCAACAATGTCCAATAAGCCCTGAGTAATGAAGAAGGTATATTATTATAAATTATATGCAGAAGATGATGAATTTTGCCAATGGGAAAGAAGATTAATGGACATTAACCAATGAAGTGCAACTATCTTAAAAATTGCCACCCTACCCTTGAGCAAAAAATCAGCTTTGAATGTAATGAAACGCCATTTTCTGGGGCGAGTCTCGGAGGCTCCCTGGAGCTATCCAGGCTGAATGGATATGTACAACTTTCTGGCATGAGTCAAAGTGCTTGGAATTCTTGCCTACCGGGGACCACGAGCCAGAACCTGGCCCCCCCCTCAGAGAGGCACGAGGAGCAATGGCCTATAGAAACCACCTAGTTGGGAGCATTTTGTGTCTGCCATCGACTGGGATAGGCACCCAGAAAGGTAGGAGCCCCAAAACAAACCCCTATTCTGGTGAAAATATTGATACCAAAAGCTGAACAAGTGAACAGAACTCCCTAAACAAAATTATCAAACTAGCATGACGTCATCACGTCGCCGCACCACCGTCTGCGCAACCCCCCCCTCCTCTCCCCTCCCTGGGAGGGGGAAGCGGGAGCCCCAGAACAACACCCAAGACAGCAAGGGGAACAGAACAGAAGGAACAGCAACACGGAATGCAAGCTGGAACGCCCCCCACCAGCGCCACCCAAGACGAGGCGACAGAACACGGCACCAGACGACGGTCTCGGAACAATCCCAAAAGGAAAGACAAGACAACCTTATCAGAGACCGTAGAACCCTTCGCAGTGATAGGAAACCGGAAGGACCGCGAGGAAACTACACACTGCCGCCGAGACGAAGGACACAGTTGGGAGACCAACAACGAAGTCACCAGTGCCCACACAAGCGACGAGACACTCGAGACAAAAACCCGAGACGCGAAGACTTGAGGGGAAGAACGAACCAGCCTCGTACAGAGCTGGACCGATCCGCAAAAAGAGGCGGAGCCGCAGGAAGATCCTCAGGATTGGAAACCGAGAAAAACAGCGCCCCAACCAAGGCCGACAAAGAACCAGAAGGAACGGCCGCCAGGAAACTAGGAACCCAATCCCGGCGAAACGGAAAGGAACCAACCCGGGCGAGCAGACACACACACTGTCCGGGAGGAATTTCCCCCCCCCTTCCCCAGGACCCCTGAAAGACCAACAAGGCCAAACACCAAAGAGCCAGGTCACAGGTAGAGATCAATGAGGAAAACGAGCACCACGAACTAAAGCATGAGACGCAAAGCGAAAAACAGCGACCCCACAACCCAAAGGAGCAGCGCAACCAGCTCCAGCTGGGAAGAACGACACACGCGTCTCCGAGGTATACATGAGGAGAACAACGCCAGACATGTAACGCAGAAAAACAAAAATGTACGTCCAGAAAATGGAACAAGAAAAGCCGTAGTCAGGACCGGAATCCTAGCTACCCGTCGCAAGCCGTTGCAAGAAAAGGAACCAGGAGGGCAAGAACGGATGAACGGAAGGCCACAACCCGCAGGCATTGTAACACAGGTAGGCAAGAACTCCAAGCATATTGACTGATGCCAGAAAGTTATACACATCCATTCAGCCTGGATAGCTCCGGGGAGCCGACAGAACTCCCCCAGAAAATATATAACAAAATAAATAAATTAAATACTGTACATGCAAATTTATTCTCACTTGACCTGTACTTAGGAGAACTGATGGTGTATGTGGAAGGTGGTGAGGAAGGGAATGAGCGAGAAGAGAGTCCCCCATCCATAAAAAGGGGGGGGGACTCCCATTATGGACTTGCAGGGGAGTCCCCCATTCATAAAACTTCAAGAAATTGTGCTTCTGGGGTTCTTTTTCTGTTTTTCCATTTCCCTCTTGAAGATCAAAGGATGCTTTTCTTACAAGAATACAGTGGAACCTCGAGTGACGAGCGGCATTACGAGCATTTCAAGTAACGAGCGAGTCACTCGCTGAAAATATGTCTCGACTGACAAGCTTTCCCTCGATTAATGAGCATTCCCCTTGGTTCTCGGATACCTCCGACGACAGTTTTGTTGATGTTTCACAAGACGAGTTTTCCACATGACAAGCTCGGTGCCGAAACGGATTAAACTCATGAATCGAGGCGCCACTGTACAAGCATACCAAACACAGTAGTAAGAACAAACACCCAGGCACCACTTTCAGATTTTGCCAAGAGTTCTTTCTTCCATCTCTAACTGTTCTATTTCATTTTCTTTTCGTTTGGCTCTTATCACTAACCTAGTTAGGCGCCATTGTGACTAATTTATGCCAAGAGTACAAAGATATCGAAGGAAACACAAGAAATTTTACAGAGGATTTTAGTGGGGGGTGTGCACTGAACAACAGCTATTGGGAAACTGACCCATGTATATGTTCAAGTGCCATTCAAATGGCCAACTACCAAGGGTTTTTGGTCTCAAAATGTTAAAGTACTGAAAGTATGCTGAGCAAGTAACAGTATCACTGAAAACAACAATCACAAACCTTCGAAGCAGCAACATGAAGTGGCACACCGGAGTCGTAGTCTTCACGATTGGGGTCAGCTCCTCCATCCAGCAGATACCGAACTGTGACCAAATTCTCGTTTGCAACAGCTGAAGTACACAATGTAATCAATTTTTAAGCACAGAAAAAAAAATCTATTTTTAAAAATATAAGAGACCCTTTTACTTTTTTATAATGAAAAGAATCCATAAAACACACCTCATAATCTGAGGGAAATCAGTATATACATACATACCATTATATTTTTAATATCATGAACCTAATAAATATATTGGAAGATCATGAGAACAAAGGTAATCAATTGACACAGGAAAATATTACCCTTGATAAAATAAATAAAACAGTATGATCAAGTGGACAAAAGCAACACCTTTGCTGAAGAGTAGTAAAGATATGAAAACAAGTATTACAGTGCTGTATTTTGACTGTATTACAGTACTGTATTTTCTTTCTAATTTGATCTTTAATATATTAATTCAAGAGCAGTTATATACAACATATTATTATTCAATAGAACTCTTGAAAACACACCTGTGGGCAGTGGCAATGCCCAGTTATCTCCCCCTTTCATGTTGGCATCAGCACCCGCACTAAGCAGCAACTTCACTACTTCGCAGTAGCAGGGCTGTGGCTTACATGCTAACCGAAGGGCACTTGTACCATCATGTGATAGGGCATCAACATCCACATCATCTGAAAATATTTAATGTTTTATAAGTCAATCCTCCTCTTCATAAATTCATAGATGTGATTCAGAGAGAAACTTGCTGGAATGGCCCTCAGGTATATTTAGCAAAAGACTGTCCAGTGCAGCAGCATACTCACTGCATTACCTTGGTTGACCCTTGATGGGGGTTCTAAGAGTTCTTCTACTCCTCCCAAGCCTGGCCCAAGGCCAGGCTTGTGAGAGCTTAGTCCAACACGCTATTGCACGGAGTGGCCCACAGGCCCACATATCCACCTGCAGATATTCAGACCTTTTGTACGATTACTTGACTCTGATATGCCTAGTTTTGCAGGCAGGTTCCTGAAAGGTGTCCCTGAATCTCCAGGATACCTATTGAAATATCTCGTTTCATCTGAGGTTCAGGGAACTGGTTGGGAATTTTTGTAGTCATGCTTTTTACTTTTTTGGGGGGAGGGGGTCTCCTTGTTAGCTTGCATCTGGCTACTTATATCTTTACCAAGTTAGCACAGATGGTTGTGACCTGGCTACATCTTTTGGGGGATTCGTTTCTTGGCTTATGTCAAGACTAGCTGGTTTGGGTTCCCAGCCAGTTCACGTGTCTGCAAGCAAGGAAGCTGGTCCTTTCCAAGCTTGTCTGTTTCAAGTTACTGGTAATCTGGAGAAAGCCCTGGTTGGTTTCATCTCAGGTTTGGACTTCACTAGGTCTTGTCTGGGATTCCTGGTCAGCTTCCCTTACCCTGCCATCTACAACATCTGCTTCGCCTGTAGATTCCTTTTCATCATCCTTCCTTAAAAAATACTGAAGAAATTGTTCACAACCTTTGTGAGACCAAAGCTGGAATATGCAGCGGTTGTATCATGTACATATTTTAAGAAGTACAACAAACTGATAAAGATGCAAACACATGTAACTAGATGGCTCCCAGAACTGAAAGACAAGAGGTACTACGTGGAGGCATTAAATATGCCAAAACTAGAAGATAGAAGAAAAAGGAGATATGGTCACTAAAAGAGTAATGGGACAAAATAGTAACGGGAATCAACAAAATTAATAGGGAAGAATTCCTGAGACCTGGAACTTCAAGAACAAAAGGTTATAGATTTAAACTAACTAAACAAAACTGCCAAAGAAATAGAAGAAAATTCATTTTTGCAAACAGTGGTAGATAGTTGGAACAAGTTAAATGAAAAGATGGTGGAGACCGAAACTGTCAGTGGTTTCAAAGCATTACTGTACCGTATATGACAGAGAGTACGGGGAAGACAAGATACCACAAGCTTAGCTCTCATCCTGTAACTACACTTAGGTAATTACACACAGGAAAATTCCACTGGATTATGGACTGTATCCAAAATGATTATTATACCAACACAGAAAAAGAAGTCCATGAGAGAAACTACTTTCTCTGTTCAAAGAAACTATGATTACATTTTAAATTGTTTTGATGTATCACTTACCTGCCAAAAGCAATAAACGAACACAATCAACATGACCACCAGCGGCCGCCTCATGCAGGGGTCGCCACCCTCGGTTGTCATGGCCATTAGTGGGACGACCAGCTTGCAGCAGCTCCTAAAACGTGTAGAGTAATGCATCACATTTTTATTTGAACAGTAAATTTGAAAGATAACTAAAGCCGAAGCCAAGAGGCACATCACATCACATGTCACTAATTAGTAATTACTGTACAAATGGTGACAAAGTATCCTAATAATAGGCACTCTCAACCGGTTGTTAGAATCTGGAGGATATTGATGCAGACCACTTCTTAAGATGCTTTTTCACCAGATGCTTTTTCACCCATGGGTTTTATAAACCTCATGGAATCGCCTACACGCTGAAGTCATAAATAATGTACCAAAATGGCTGAATTTCAAAATCCATCTAGATAAAATCATTGACAAATGTGAGTACCTTTGACAAGCTGCCAGCTTCCTGTCCTCACTGAGGTAAATTTAGGCAAATTCAGATCCCATGCCCTTAGGCGGGGTTTCAATTGTTAAAATGGAATGCCTGTTATGCTTATCGAGGTTAGCAGATACTAGTCACTATGTACCCAAGACAGTTCGTCAACAAATTATAAAATTTACCAAACCTTATGTACCCTAACCTATCCCAACCTATGCTAACACAGCCTGACAATATATATATATAATTTTTACAATTAGATATTCAAGAAAAATGAGGAGACCTTCGACAATCTGCCAGCTTCCTGTCCTCATCAAGGCCACTAGTGTTAGTGACTATCAGGTAAACTCAGGTATCTTGAGCTTTGCAGAAATACCTGTATGATTTGACCATATCCCAGGACATTTTAGCAGCACCAGGTGATGATGTCGGTGTTGTCACCTCAAATCAAATCGGTGTTGTCACCGATGGTCAAATCATATCATGGAATTTTGGTAAAGCTAGTTTTTAATTATCAGAAGCATGTACTGTATATCTTAGGATGAGTAAGCTTAGGTTAGGCTGTGTTAAGCTTGGTTTCTATTGTATTCCATAAGATAAAAGGTTAAGTAGATTTTAAAATCCATCTTGTGTTAGACGTGACTTATATCCGGTCACCAAACCAGTGTCTGGCCTAGCCAAACTACACTTGACCAATCGATTCAACACATAATCCACTATACTGTACCCAATTATTGGGCAAGCATATGGTTTACAAATAATAATAATAATAATTGAATTCATAAAATTGCTGTGAAAAATAAAATTCATATTTTATTCACAAAAAGTATGCATACAAAGAACTTAGTACAGAGGTATATTTGAAAGTATAGGGGTTGCACACTAAGTGAACCACAGGGGGGTTGCACACTGAGTGAACCACAGGGGGGGTTGCACACCGAGTGAACCACAGGGGGGTTGCACACTGAGTGAACCACAGGGGGGGTTGCACACCGAGTGAACCACAGGGAGGTTGCACACTGAGTGAAGCCACAGGGGTTCCACACTATGTGAAGCCACAGGGGGTTGCACGCCGAGTGAAGCCACAGGGGTTGCACACCGAGTGAAGCCACAACCACTTAAGACGTGCCGAGCCATAATAACTTCAATAACCTCAAACTCACCTTGAGTAGCCTGGCGTCCCCGAGACGAGCAGCTAGGCCCACCGAGGTGTTGGTGTCGTCATAGGCCTCGGTAAAGTCCATTATAGCACCCTCAGCCGCCGCCTTCACTTCCCCCTCCCCCCCAGGAGACGGCGAAGACCAGCGGTAATGGTTGTTGTTGTTGAAGATAAGGGTTGTTAGTGTAGGTTACCGTATGAACTACATTGTTCACCCCCGCCTGAGGACAGGCGGCTCCCTCCACACACAAGTGCCACTGTAAACAAGGGACCGCTTTTTCGTACACTTGGATTTCGTACACTACTAATCCGTCCTCTGTATATTTCGACTAATAGAACTATTCCGTAGTAATAGTAATGTAATGTAAAAAAAAAATGTAAATAATAGCACCCTGTTGTAATGTTGAATTTATCTTTAATGTTGAATTTATCTTTAATGTTGAATTTATCTCTACTATAGAGTCACTGACTCTATAGTAGCCTAATGAGCTCGACAGGAAGACGGCGGTTTCTCGAAGGCCTAGCTAAATTATCGGGCTCCCAAGTACGCTCCTTTTGTCTTCTACCACCTCCGTTGTGCTTGTATTTATTTTATTTTCAAAACTTTATTCTACAAATTGGGTTACAACGTTGGTTACATATACAGGGTACAAAGTTGTCACAGGCAGTTGAGTTCCTTAAGCTCCTCGGATTATAACGGGAAAGCAGAAGCTATGAATATAGTGCCCGAAACGCTGTGCGTATTAATGGCTTTACAAGAATGTAAAAACATCAATGCTATGTACTCTCATAAACCCAATGTACCTTCTTGTATTCAAATAAATAAATAGTGTGCGTTTCCCCTCTATCACCGCACAGAGGGGCTCGTAAAGCAATGTCGGACTCCTGGTTCAATCTTGAAGCCGAGCGGACGTCTGGGACACCGCTCCTTCGCCTGGGAGCCGCCTGATCACATCTTGTTTTCGCTTTGCTACTCCCGTTTGGCATCGCTTTTCAGCGGTCCGATTGTACGACGCCTGGCGCACATATCGCCTTGGTTCACAGGATTGTTGATAGATTTTTTCTGACGTATTGTGGCTAGTTCTCCCGGCGGGGTGAAGGGGTTCGGGGGCCGGCTTGGCCGAGAGGTGCCGGGGGTTGGTGGGTCTTGGTGGGCTCCTGGTGTGCCCTCAGTCGTGGTGGGCGGCAGGCTTCTGCTCTGCCGGAGGACACTGGATGACTTTTGCGTTTTAGTTGGGGGCCGAGTTTTGGTTTTGCTACCTGGTGTTCTCTGTGTGGGGCGGGGCCGGTGCTTGTCACCCTGAGGGACTCCTGGGACTCCCCAATCATCTGCCCGTCTGTGCGTTTATTTGCCGTATGGCATATTAGTTTCTAGTGATTGGCGTCACTCGTTTTGCGATTTGGCTTGGCGTTTCACCTTTCCTGGCTTCGTGATTCACCCTAACGGGTGCGCCGGGGCGCAGCCGATCCCACGATCGTCGTCGCCCCTAAATCATCAACAACAACATAAAGGAATGTCTCCTAAATTCAATAGTAATGGAAATATTTTATTTATACGCAATATTACAAGGGGGTTTCATGTACTATAAGTTCCTCTTCTTAAGGAACTTATAGTAGTTAACACTTATTACGCATTTACTTCTATTTACAGGTTCGCCTACTTTTATTTATTTTTACTTTTTACACCTACTACACCTACTTTTTATTAAAAAGGAGGTGACACACCTATATACTACCAAGATACCTTCACATGCAACAGTGTCATTAGTGATAGAGATGACTACTGTGAATTTACTTTTGTTCAATTTTAAATTAAATCCCTTAAAACCCCCTTGACTATTGGAGCCATTTATAGATTTCCCAATACTAACATAGCTGCATTCACAGATAACTTGAGGAATCTTATCATAAACAACATTATATTTATTTTATTGTGCACCCCACAATAAAGACAATAAATAAAATGTTGTTTATGATAAGATTCCTGAAGTTATCTGTGAATGCAGCTAAACAACAACCTCGACAAAAATCACATAGTTCTGGGGAGGGGGTGACTTCAATATTGACCTAGTTCTGGGGAGGGGGTGACTTCAATATTGACCTAGTTCTGGGGAGGGGGTGACTTCAATATTGACCTAGTTCTGGGGAGGGGGTGACTTCAATATTGACCTAGTTCTGGGGAGGGGGTGACTTCAATATTGACCTAGGGCGACAAAATGGCCCTCAAGTCGACAATTTCCTTGACGGCATGAATTCCTGTATGCTCATCCCCCGTAATCCACCCGATTCACTCAAACATCCGCTACTACCTTGGATCACCTATGGACCAACATAACAGCTCCCCTCACATCTGGTATTATCACTGACAGAACAACTGACCACTATCCTACCTTCCTTGTAGCGAACATGGCCATAACACCACCAGCTAACAAGAAAATTACCTTTAGGTTAAATAGTGAAGTATCAATAGACAATCTCACAAATGCTCTCCTCAATATAAACTGGGAATCTGAATTAAATAATACACAGGATATAAATTCCTTAACTAGCCTCTTTCTTTCCAAAATTCTAAGCCTTTACAATACTTATTGTCCTCTCCTCACCAAGCAAGTAACTGGCAAAAGATTAGATAATCCCTGGCTCACTAATGACATACTCAATGCAATCAACAGGAAACATGAATATGAGAAAAAACTTAGGATTGGCCTAGTTGCAAAGGAAGTAGTTAAGAGGTACGCGTTAGTGCTTACCAGTATAATAAGAAGAGCAAAGCATTCCTATTATGAGAATAAATTCAAAGAAGCAAAAGGCAACATGAAAAGCACATGGAGAGCCATCTCTAACATCCTAGGAGCTAAACAACATTCACATAACAAGATAAAAATCTCCAAGGATGGTTCTACACCTGCAACAGACCTTGAAACAGCAACTGAATTTAATAGCTTCTTTTCATCGATTGGTGCTAACCCTGCCCGAAATATCCCACAGACCCAGACACATGTTACCACATATCTCTCAGGTAGCTATCCAAACTCTCTTCTCCTCTCACCAATCAGCCCTTCAGATGTTGTGTCCATCATTTACTCACTAAAATCCAAAGCTGGGAACATTAGTGAAATACCATCGATGGTATACAAGAGCGCCTCCCATGCCCTTGCACCACCATAGCTTTGCTGTTCAATAGTTAGTTTAGTTCATTTATTATGCACCCCATACCCATCCTGTGGGCGGTAGTGGAAAGGGTTACAGAGGCACATAATGGGCTCAGGGACTGAACCCCACAATTCATTTAGCTAAGCAAGTTACAATCTTGATGAGCTAGTTACAAAATTCAATATAAGTCATCACATCAACAATGGGTTCGAGATCGACCTCAAGTACAGGTTCTAAATTAAGCAACTGACATATGTGGAGAGCTAGTGTCAAAATTTATATGTTTGTCCTGCACACCGCCCCCCATCCAGTGGGCAGCGGTGGATAGGTTACAATCACTTAGTTACTACCTGCAGTTAGCAAACTGGGGATATTTGGCTAAAATTTCTGGTAGCAGATCATTTTGAATGAAATATTGACACATCGCTGGAACATTGGTTATAGAATTGTCTCTAAATTCACGTATCTTTTCGCACTCCATCACATAGTGACGGAGGGTGTGCGAATAATTTTGTTGACACAGTTTACATTTGGTCAGGTCTACATGAGCAGATAATGAGAATTCCCAGAGATACTTGTAACCGAGTCTAAGCCGAGCAGTAGTAACATCTAGAAGTCTGCTGATTTTATTGGATGATCCATAGATGTGTGGCTCCTCTTGCATGATAGTATGATGATAGATGGAATTACTGGTGTCAATTTCACTTTGCCTCAGATCTACAAGATCTTGTTGAAGTTCTCGGTGTACAGCTGCTCTCAGATTGCTCATTGACAATCCAAGGTTCAATAAATCTCTAGTGTCATACCTTCCCTGATATCCTTAAAAAAGCAAGAGTAACGCCAGTTCATGAAGGAGGTAACACGGCAGACATAAATAATTACAGACCCCATATAAAATCTACCTTTATTATCAAAAATATTTGAAAAAATTATTTACAAACAGCTCTACTCCAATCTCGTAAAATTCAAAATACTAAGTCCCTGTCAGTTTGGCTTCCGTTCCCAAAAAAGAGTACCACTGATGCAATTGTTAGTCTGCTTGACTTAATCTACTCAGCCCTTGACAGAAGTGAGTTTCCGATTGGACTCTTCATTGACCTGAGAAAGGTTTTTGATACTGTTAACCATACTACCTCTTACTTAAACTCCAACATTATGGAATCCGTGGCCTTGCCCTGAACTTTATCCGATCCTATCTTAGTGACAGACACCAATATGTAGCCATCAATGATATAACCTCTCCTACTCTACCACTAACCGTAGGGGTGATACAGGGCAGCATCCTAGGACACCCTCCTGTTTCTTATATACATCAGTGATCTGCCTAATGTCTCTAACATGCTTAAACCTATTTTGTTTGCTATTGATACTACTCTCATCTTCTCTGACCCCATCCCACTCATCTTAAATAATGTTGTGAACAATGAATTAAAAAAAAAGTCCACTTATGGATGTCAACCAACAAACTCACACTAAATATAGAAAAGACTTATTACATCTTATTTGGAAGCAAATCAACAAATGTAATTCAGCTTCAGATGGATAATGTAAACATTAGCAATAAAAATGACGGAAAGTTCCTTGGCTTATACCTAGACAAGAGACTCAACTTCAGCACCTACATTCAACACATAACTAAAAAGGTTTCTAAAACAGTTGGTATACTCTCTAAGATCAGATATATTATACCCTACTCTGCTCTCCTCTCACTCTATTATGCATTTATCTATCCCTATCTTACTTATGGTATCTGTGCTTGGGGTTCAACCTTTGCAAACTACCTCAAGTCCATCATCACCCAGCAGAAATAACGTGGCTGAATATATGATGGCCAAACCACACATCAGAATTTTAAGAAACTGCGACGTTTCCATTATCAAGTCCAGGACGGACCGAAACGTCGTCATTTCTTAATTTTCTTATGTGTGATTTAGTCATTAGGTTACATAATAATAATAATAGTTCATTTTGTCAGAAGCAGGCAGCCCTGTGTATATACACATGTTAGGCTTGTAACGGGGGGTGGGGGAAATAGCTCTATCTTGTCCATTATTCCACCCCCCAGTTAACTAACGAGGCCGGGGGAAACAGCTCTCTCTAGTCCGTTATCCCGTCCTCAGTTAGCTAACTATTCTAGAGCACCTCCAGAGTTCCTAAGGCAACCTCTCTCGTTCAACACCTTGTAACCTAGGTATTTGACTACCTAGGTGCTACGACTACAAGGCGTCGTAACTGGATCAGCTACCCGAAACTCTAGAGAGAACTCTAGAATACAGAATCATTGCCACAAACGTATAAGAGAAAACGAAAGGAAAGAAATGAATAGTGAAGTAATTAGTGAGGGCTTGGGGGTGAGAGGGAGAGAGGTGGGAGGAGCGAGGAGGGTCATTAGTTGAAAGTGAGAGTTTAGAGAGGGGGTGGAGGGAGAGGTGTAGATAGGTAGAAGTAGAAGAGTAGATAGTAGAAGTAGAAGAGTAGATAGTAGAAGACGAAATGCTGCCACCATCCATTCATGATCATTACATACAAGACAAGGAATGGAACTTGCCTGTATCACAAAATTCTCAAAGGATGTTATCATGAGTTCATTATTAGTATGTTCCCTCTGTACCATGTACTCAGTCTAAACCATGAAAACAGTAACCACAGAGGCTTTCTCACCTCAACTCAAAGCTCTAGGGAACAAAGTTAAACACAATTTAAATAATAAATTCATAATTATATTTCACATGAAGTATCATAATTTAGCAATTCAATTAAAATGTTAAAGAGAGTCATCATCCAAGAATTCGAGAACCCTACAACTTGACTGCCCCTGATCACCACACAACATATGTAAACACGACCAAGTCACCTTAATGTTCACTCACCGAGGACTGAGTCTAAGTTGAATAGAGAGGGGGGGGGGTTTGTAGTTGACGGAGACTCCCGCCCTGCCGGCCGACAGCCTCCCGTCTGCTCTGCTCTCCTGACTGCCGTTCTGTCTGTTCTGTCTGTTAATGCTTCATGCTGGATAGCTCTCAGAGTTTATATTGGGGAACCTAGTAGCTAACTCCGCCCACAAGTAGATAGCCTCCGGCACTACCAAGCCACTCCTTAAACGTCGGCATGTTTGAAGGCTACCCGGCTCCAATTATACGCTTAGCGGAAGCAAGGTGAAATTCTCATGATCTGACCTCAGGTCACTGGGGTCGTTAACGGTTAGAGGTGTGAGATCTCAGGCAGACAACTGGCGCCTCTCCGATCCTTGTCTGTGACTCCTGTACTCTATGTATGTATTAACCTAAACCAAACACTTTTACAGTGTTACATCTCCCCTTCTCCCCGAAAATAAAGTTTTTGCAACACTGCTAAAGCAAGCTAGCTGTGTGCGACAACTTTATTAACGAAAAGAATACAACCTAGCTAAACAAATATACATCATCCTACTCTAAAAAAATGAAATATATAGACAGACGTCCATTGTCTCTGGCTGGGCGACGTCACTGCTTGGTCTTGTAGATAATCCTGTACCACATTTCTTCAACACAACTGCCTCCGTCGCTTCTCCGTCGTTAACGCACAACAACCCTTGGTCAACCCGAAAGCCGTTACTACTTGAACTGCGCACAGGACCGTGGAATTCGGTTGTCCCAGCTGATCTGTAATTGGCCCTACGTCAGTCACCATGAGAGACGTATATTGGGGTTCTTCACAGCTATAGGGACTACAAGTTTCGAGACCTTCATATAGTTGCCAACAGTAGAAATCCCATCCTACTCTTCTTCCTCCCTGTTGCTCCAGCACGCCTCCTTCAGAGAGCTACTTCTGACAGCCACATCAAGTCCGCACGACACAGGAAGAATCACTCAACAGAGCTACCTGCTTGTAGGAGGGGCGGCCAGTTAAGGCAAACGATCCTGTCTTGCAATTACGCTCCCTGCAATGATGCTGACACCAGCAAGGGACACGAGGCATCGTGTCTCACTCAGCTTGTCTTATGTTCTTCTTCTTCTTTCTTCTTTCTTCTTTCTTCTCTCTTCCTTCTTCTCTCTTCTTTCTTCTCTTCCTCCTCCCATGGGTCTTTGACAAGCGACCTGGGGTCCATTGGGATCCGTCCGTCCTGGGGTCCATCCTGGGTAGACCGGTGTTGGTGGGACAGACTGGAGTCGTCGTTGTTCCTCTTCCATCTTTACTGGGTCGTCTGGGGTTGTCTACAGAACGACCTGGGGTCCACTGGGTAGACCGATGTTGGTGGGACAGACTGGAGTCGTTGTTGCTCCTCTTCCATCTTTACTGGGTCGTCTGGGTTCGTCTGCAGAACGACCTGGGGTCCACTGGGGTCCGTCCGTCTTGGGGTCCGCTGGGGTCCGTCCGTCTTGGGGTCCGCTGGGGTCCGTCCGTCCTGGGGTCCACTGGGTAGACCAATGTTGACTGACCGAGAGGGCTGCATCTTGGGGTCCCCTGGGGTGGTGATGGTGGTGGAGCCATGACCTCCAGGTAGTGGGCTGGTCGTGGTGGTGGTGATAAACGCCCCCGAGTGTGGTACACAGCAGTCGTCTCCCTCTTCTGTATATGCGTCGCGCCTCTCCTCTGGCTCCCACCTGTGGATGAACATAAAGGCGACAATACCCGTGTTCCATGCTGTTGTGTGACCCTGTAGTTTGTATAGGGTTCACACAGTCCAATTATAAGCTCTCCTCCTGGCAACAACTACACTTAAATTTTTTTTTTTTTAAATAATCCAATTAACACTGAATGATACTGACTTGGTGGAACATAAGACAGTAACAGAGGAAAGTTAGAGAAGAGAGAATAAGGTCATCACTACTTTTAACTTGTCACACACAAAAAAAATCAAAACTAATAGACAAACACTAGCCTCACTTAACTGTACCTTTCCTAATCTTAAGTACATAATTAACCGTTACTCCCACCCTTAACCTACAGCCACCTACGTGACCCAGAGTGTTTCCCTAGCATCTCCGCGGGTCAACAACTCCAAACTGTTGCCACCCCTGTGACCAGACTATCTAACGTCGAGCGTCCCCAACGTGAAGTCTACTGACATACTAAGCCTCCCCCTAGCATGCTGTACAATACCAGTACACCTCGGGTTATTGCGTTCAAATGGAGTAAAACAGTCGATCGCAATAATCTGAGCAGAACCACCACTAAATTCTACTTAAGAACTACACCTGCCACTCCCCACTGACCTGGAGACCAGCGGTGGCTGGGTGTCCCCCTGGGACATGCGAGGTCACCTGTCACACTCAGGTGAGCTCCCCTACCAACACTGCTGAGTTCCCAAATCACCAAATCTTATCACTAACATAAAACACTACACACGCAAGTTCTGGTGAACATTCCCTGAACTACACAAAACTCACAAAATCACTAAACCACAACACCAGAGAATCACAATCTCCTAACCTGAAAACTCGCTAAATCGCGAAAGTAAAACACCTGTCAAGATCTCCCTGATAGCGCCTGAGCGGCAAAAAGACACGTGGGACTGAACAATGTTCAAAAGAACACCAATACCTTAAACATTGTTCAACACCGCTGCCATCATTGTAACGGGGGGTGGGGGGAAATAGCTCTATCTTGTCCATTATTCCACCCCCCAGTTAACTAACGAGGCCGGGGGAAACAGCTCTCTCTAGTCCGTTATCCCGTCCTCAGTTAGCTAACTATTCTAGAGCACCTCCAGAGTTCCTAAGGCAACCTCTCTCGTTCAACACCTTGTAACCTAGGTATTTGACTACCTAGGTGCTACGACTACAAGGCGTCGTAACTGGATCAGCTACCCGAAACTCTAGAGAGAACTCTAGAATACAGAATCATTGCCACAAACGTATAAGAGAAAACGAAAGGAAAGAAATGAATAGTGAAGTAATTAGTGAGGGCTTGGGGGTGAGAGGGAGAGAGGTGGGAGGAGCGAGGAGGGTCATTAGTTGAAAGTGAGAGTTTAGAGAGGGGTGGAGGGAGAGGTGTAGATAGGTAGAAGTAGAAGAGTAGATAGTAGAAGTAGAAGAGTAGATAGTAGAAGACGAAATGCTGCCACCATCCATTCATGATCATTACATACAAGACAAGGAATGGAACTTGCCTGTATCACAAAATTCTCAAAGGATGTTATCATGAGTTCATTATTAGTATGTTCCCTCTGTACCATGTACTCAGTCTAAACCATGAAAACAGTAACCACAGAGGCTTTCTCACCTCAACTCAAAGCTCTAGGGAACAAAGTTAAACACAATTTAAATAATAAATTCATAATTATATTTCACATGAAGTATCATAATTTAGCAATTCAATTAAAATGTTAAAGAGAGTCATCATCCAAGAATTCGAGAACCCTACAACTTGACTGCCCCTGATCACCACACAACATATGTAAACACGACCAAGTCACCTTAATGTTCACTCACCGAGGACTGAGTCTAAGTTGAATAGAGAGGGGGGGGGGTTTGTAGTTGACGGAGACTCCCGCCCTGCCGGCCGACAGCCTCCCGTCTGCTCTGCTCTCCTGACTGCCGTTCTGTCTGTTCTGTCTGTTAATGCTTCATGCTGGATAGCTCTCCGAGTTTATATTGGGGAACCTAGTAGCTAACTCCGCCCACAAGTAGATAGCCTCCGGCACTACCAAGCCACTCCTTAAACGTCGGCATGTTTGAAGGCTACCCGGCTCCAATTATACGCTTAGCGGAAGCAAGGTGAAATTCTCATGATCTGACCTCAGGTCACTGGGGTCGTTAACGGTTAGAGGTGTGAGATCTCAGGCAGACAACTGGCGCCTCTCCGATCCTTGTCTGTGACTCATGTACTCTATGTATGTATTAACCTAAACCAAACACTTTTACAGTGTTACAGGCTAATATCGAGGTCAATCATATATTCGCACACCGTGCATGCTAACGATATTCAAAAATTTACTGACATCTGTGCCACCATAATAATCAATAAATGTCTAAGTATTTTTTTCAAAATCCGACCTCTCATCTAAAAATATTATATACAGCAAAACTCGTCGGAACGTACAAATATTGTTGTACAAAAGTACAACTCTTATAATATTATTAACTCACTAGAGGCAACGAGAATGATGCAACAAAGCCTAGGTCTAATATGGCACGCGTATATACTCAATTATTCCTAAGATTACGTATATTAGGCCTAGGATTTATTATATAGGCCTAGGACAGGTTATTTTAGGTTGTAAAGTTACTGTGCCATTCTTGTGGAATGTTGTTTGGGGTAATTCGATATTATAAAACGTGAACCTTTTTTACAACAGTTCATTTTGTCCGTTCCACAAATATAATTTCTATAGGTACTGTACTATAATTTTTCGACGATGTGTTGATTTATATATTACTCAAAATCTTAGCCAAATATCGCCCAACCACTTGGGTTGGACGGTAGAGCGACGGGTCTCGCTTCATGCAGGTCGGCGTTCAATTCCCGACCGTCCAGGTGGGCACCATTCCTTTCCCCCTGTCCCATCCCAAATCCTGATCCCTTCCAAGTACTATATAGTCGTAATGGCTTGGCGCTTCCGCCTAATAGTTCCCTTCCCTTAGCCAAATATCTTAAATTTATTTTCTTTTAATCCAGTATTTCAGAAGCACAGCAAAAGTTTATCATTGCATTTGTATATATACTTTTTAAATTCATGTGACTAACCTTTCTGCCTCCTCTCACTACATATGACTATGATGTGGATGATAGAAAATCAAAATGTAATGTAACTCTTTGAACACAAGTGTATATTTCTTATTAGCTTGAATACCATGTGTCGGTCCAATTCATGGGAGCTGGTCGGCCGAGCGGACAGCACGCTGGGCTTGTGATCCTGTGGTCTCGAGTTCGATCCCAGGCGCCGGCGAGAAACAATGGGCAGAGTTTCTTTCACCCTATGCCCCTGTTACCTAGCAGTAAAATAGGTACCTGGGTGTTAGTCAGCTGTCACGGGCTGCTTCCTGGGGGTGGAGGCCTGGTTGAGGACCGGGCCGCGGGGACACTAAAGCCCCGAAATCATATCAAGATAACCTCAAGAAGATGAACCAGCTCTCAATATGGGTAAGGGGCTCCATAATAAACCAATGAAACTCGTATTAAATGCAATATTAATGTCTAATTGTATACACTGTCTATAATATGTTTACAAATTGTATTAGTAAAAGCAATAACTATAATTTTCATAAATTGTCAAAATTAGCTCAATACTGATTTGTTATCAGTCTAAACAGAAACCGATGACAAGATATTATTTAAATTAACTAACAATGGAAACTTACACAACTCTAGTTTGCATTTTTAAGTGAAACTATATATATAAAAAAAGTAAATTTTTACAAGAATAAGTTTTCACATAAATCAACCTTCAGTGATGTTATTAATATATGACCTATAAAGTTAACAATATTTAATTTGCTTAATAAAGGTTGATCTTGTTAAATGTATTCAATCTATTTAAAAATAGTTAATAGTTGACCTAATTAATTGGGCCAGTTGACCTAGTTAACATTGATTGACCCGATCAACTAGCTGACCTATACTTATCAATCACTTACCCCGGTTTACAATTAAGGGTGTACATTTTTATTTAGTCAACGGTTTATATATAGTTAACGTTAGTTGAATTACTTAACAATGATTAACTTCAAATAATTAGCAATCTTATATCCTGTTATTAATAGCTAATCTAGTATTCTAGTTAATTTTGGATCTTGTTAGCAATAGTTGTCCCTAATTCTCCATGGTTGACCCCAGTTAGCTACGAATGACCTAGTTAACAACTGGTTAATCAATTAACAGCGAATGGCATGATACACACAATGATTAATTTAGTTAAATTCAAATTTAAGATTGGGCTAGATGAAGCCGGAAGAGGTTGCAGGGATTGGGGTCAGACGGGGCTTGGAGAGGGTGGATAGGGCTGGGATGGGTAGTGGTAGAGTTTTTTTTTTTTTTTTTTTTTTTTTTTTTTGCAGGGCTATTCCATGTGGTAGAGAGGTTAGATACTGACTGCATGGGGGTTGGGGCGGTGAGGTTAGACAGCGCTAAGGGCTAGACTCAGGGGCACCAGGGTGGCCTGGTTGAGGCGGCGCAGTTGTCGTTAGGATGGAAGAATGTGTAGGGGCCAACGATGCACTTCCAGCAGCACAGCTTACCCAGATACTGCAAAAAACAATATCTTTCTTATTACAATATAATACAATGTGCCGCTTAATGATTATATTAGAGAGAGAGAGAGAGAGAGAGAGAGAGAGAGAGAGAGAGAGAGAGAGAGAGAGAGAGAGAGAGAGAGAGAGAGAGAGAGAGAGAGAGAGAGAGAGAGAGAGAGAGAGAGAGAGAGAGAGCTCAGGCCTATGCTGTACCCTAACGATTGCATATGGAAAAAATAAGAAACACCAACTGCTACGAGGGTCATTAATCAACAACTTTCAGCAATATCATCCTGGGGGTTGGCGATATCAGGTCACATATGTGGCTGAGAATACATCGGCGATGATGATAACATGATAGCATGATATTGCAACTTGGACATAGACGAATGAGTGGCAGAAACATTGTGTTCACTGATGAACTTGACAGTTTGGAAATGAAGTTTGAGTCCTCTATGACAATGAAGAGCAACGTACGTAGCCTAGCAAGCATGGCAGCCAAGAAATGTACAAGCCTCTTGACAGCTGGAGCTGTACATCCTATATGAAACAAGTTTGCTGTCATCTCCAGTATGTACTGCTCTCCTGGCCGGCCTGCTCCTCATCTATTCGAATAATTTAATAATAATATTAATAATTCATTGTGTCGCGGGACAGGCAGCCAATTTATACATACAGTACATGTTTGGATTATATTGAGGTTTCTCTCCCAGGGTCGAATTACTGATCCTCCTCAGAATGTAACCCCACAACAATTATGCTGACTATAAGTGGTTGCAGTCGAGCTAAGCTCCTGGTTCCGCCTTCTGATCGTTCTTAGAGTAATGCAATGACTCATTTATATATAACTGCTGGGTACCTATTTACTGCTAGGTGGACAGGGGCATTAGGTGATAAGAAACGTGCCAAACTATTTCTGTCCTACCTGGGATACGAACCCGGAATTCTCGGTTGAGTCGAGAACGATCCCGACTGTACTACCGGGACCCTCAATTCTGGGCAATGTGGAGAACCACGCGAGAAGGCTCATCTCTATAGTCTTAACCTGTATATGAAGGCCTTCAGTACCAGAGAATACTGGCTGGCGGACTTAATGTTATGTACAAGGCCAATATTCTTAAGGTTCCCCATATGGCCCAACTTCGTTGACAACACATAGATGGAACCACGACACAAGGCGCTCAGCAATCAACAGCCTCATGCTGGATATGCCTTTCTCAACATCACTCCGTCAGCGGTCATTCTTCAGAGGCTGACTCACATTTGGAACATGTTCACTCAACATTTAGATATGCGGGAAGTCAAATCAATAGATCATATGAAGACCCCGGTGCTTCGCTTCTATGTCCAAAGAGTTTCGAAAAGGCAGGAAAAAGGAAGACTCAGTTGGTTCCTGGTTCATCCTGTACTTTACACGAAAGTAACTTAGCATTAAATTAATTTATTCCTATTGGAAACCTAATAATAACCGTAACACATACGTGAGTTTCTAGGGGTGAAATGGAGGATAACAACTGTTGGATAACAAATAACAAGGATAACAAGGATAACAAATAAGGATGTTGGAGGATAACAACTTGCAGTTTCATTAGGAACTTAAGCCCCACTTCTAGTGAACCCTAGTTTTAGTTAAGAAAAATGAGAAAGGGAGACTTACACCCACTAAGGAACATTCCGTAAGCGATTATTCATATGGTTGTCTAGTCTCCACAAATACAATATTTAAAAAATTAAGCCAATTGGCCATCTACAATAGGAAGAGGGACCTTTGACAAGCCACCGGCTCCCTGTCCTCGTCGAGACCACTAGAGAGATGGTGGTCCTCAGGATAATTCAGGTAAAAACTTGTTAGTATCTTTGTAGCCTAATATTAAATAAAATATTCACATTGAAAATAAAACTTACTATAGATCATTTTACACAGACTCAAGACTTACCAAGAACACAAAGCGCGGTTGTGACTTTGCAAAGAACGTAATGTATACATCACCATTGTTACAACGGACTGGTTACAGGACCTACTGCACTTTCTCGCGTTTAAACAAATAAATTAAATGAGAATTTCCATTGAAACAATTTTGCCAATCCTAGTTTCAGTTTGAAAATGAGAGAGAGAAAGTGAGGGGTTAAAGAGTGTGTGTGTGGTAGTGAGCTGACCGTAGAGCCTTCCTTGTCGCAGCCGCTGGCGATGTAGTGAGCGTGGACCTCTCCTGAGACACTAGGTGGCAGGTCCATCCCGAACAGTTCACAGAGCTTGACGGAGGTGTTGCCAGTGATGGGGATTAAATTATCACCGAAGAGTTTCTTGGCATGCTGAAAAATCAAATTACAGAAATGAATTCAAATATAGGAATGCAAGTCTGAAGCAGCTTCCAGTACTCACCAATCATTATGCCGCCCGGGGAATTCTTCAAGCTATTTAATCCTCCTGGTCATATTTACTGAAAGTTTACTTTTAAACGTCATTGAGACTTTAAGCCTATCACGAAATCCAAGCAGACTTTTATACGTCTCGAGCATTTCTCCTGCCAGGCCTCGTACCCTTTCTCCAGCTCCAACAACCACGGAACAACCACCTATAAACGTTACAGGTACGCTGTTCCGGACAAAGGTGTATCTCGTCATTTTGCATGGAGGCAACGTCTTCTCGTGTCGCCTTTGTGTAATTCTTAGTGTAGTGTACCGACGTCTGTCAGACGTTGTTCCGTAATATTTATGCTTCTCTTATATCTGCATAAGTATATAATTTACTCAGCTCTTGACAAAAATGAGTTTCCAATTGGACTCTTCATTGACCTGAGAAAGGCCTTTGATACTGTTAATCACGATTACCTCTTAAGTAAACTCCATCATTATGGAATCCGAGGCCATGCACTGGACTATATCCAATCCTATCGTAGTGATAGACACCAATGTGTAGCCATCAATAATATAATCTCTCCCATTCTACCAATAACTGTTGGAGTGCCACAGGGCAGCATCTTGGGACCTCTTCTTTTTCTTATATACATTAATGATCTGCCTAATGTCTCTAACATTCTGAAACCTATTTTGTTTGCTGATGATACTACCCTCATCTACTCCAACCCCAACCCACATACACTAAATGGTGTTGTTAATAATGAACTAAAAAAAGTCCACTTATGGATGTCAACCAACAAACTAACACTTAACATAGAAAAGACCTACTACATCCTATTTGGAAGCAAATCTACAAATGCAATTCAGCTTCAGATTGACAATGTAAACATTAGCAATAAAAATGATGGAAAGTTTCTTGGCATATTCCTAGACAAGAGACTCAACTTCAGTACCCACATACAACATATAACTAAGAAAGTCTCTAAAACAGTTGGTATACTCTCCAAAATCAGATATTATGTTCCTAACTCTGCTCTCATCTCTCTATATTATGCACTAATCTATCCCTATCTCAACTATGGTATCTGTGCATGGGGTTCAACCACTGCAAACCACCTCAAGTCCATCATCACCCAGCAAAAATCTGCTATCAGAATAATATCAAATTCTGCTTTCAGACAACACACAGCCCCCTTGTTTAACTCCCTAAACATGCTAAACATAATCTCACTCCACAAATTCTCTTGTGTCAACTACATTTACAAAACCCTGTTCTTAAATGCAAATCCTTGTCTGAAACTCTTCTTGGACAGATGTAATAGGACCCATTATCACCACACCAGAAATAAATATCTCTTTGATATCCCCAGAGTTAAACTTAATCTGTGTAAACACTCTATGCAAATAAAGGGACCCAGTTTATGGAACTCACTCCCTACTGAATTGAAAAGCTGTCCAACTTTTACATCATTCAAAATCAATACTAAAAAGTACCTAATCTCATCTTCATAGTTTTTCACTTTTTGCCTTAAAATTGCACTGTATCAATTGCTACCCAATCTCCCAACCTTTATGTTCCCAATTTGAACATCTTTACCATTGTGATCATTGCTGTTTTCTTATATGTGCTGCCAATCTGTTGTATGGTGTTTATAAATCTTGTTTATCTGTATCTTTTGCTACCCAGTCTCCCAATCTTTATGTACCCAATCTGAACATCTTTACCATTGTGATCATTGCTGTCTTATATGTGCTGTCAATCTGCTGTATGGTGTCTATTAACCTTGTTTAAATTACTAATCAAGCTGTCAATGTAATTAATCAGAGCTTTAATATAACAATGTGCTTTAATATACCTACTTATCTCTCTCATCTCATTTTTCTCTTGTAATGTATCTTTATCATTTATCAATTCTGATTGAAATTACCTACTTAAAATTATCTGCTAGATTAAGGACCTGCCCGAAACGCTGTGCGTACTAGTGGCTTTACAAGAATGTAAATACTGTACTATCCAATGTATTCTCACAAACCCAATGTACCTTCTTGTATATATATAAATAAATAAATAAATAAATAAATAAGTAGGTCTATATAGTCTAAGTCATCCTTCTAATATTTCAGCCCATTCTCCTGTTTTGATAGTACTTATAGGAAGGATGAGGACTATAGTACATATACCGACGTATAACGCAATTAGAAATTACAAATCGGTACTATTGAATTTGAACAAACTGAAAAACTGTTTTCTACTTATGTTGCAAAGACAAACTAAACTAACCTACCCTGACCTTCCTAGGCCTAATACACGCTATCTGAGGCCTAGTATAGTACATGTGTGCTATTCTAGGCCTAGGAATATTAAGTTTGTTTTTTATTTTCAGTTTTTCGGACACTATAAAGTGAATAGTACAAAGTTCTACAATCTAATAGCTTAGAAAGTCAATCTTTGTACTATGATGCAAATAGTTACAAAAACTACTATCTAAACAGGAGAATGGGTTAAATATTTAGCTATATGTTTTTCCAATATATTTCACCACTAACCGTATGCCATATATTATTACTCCTTTCAGAATCAAGTTATTTATGACTGTACACCTGTTCAGTCCAGGCAGCACTGTGAAGATTTATGTAAATATTCACCAATTAAACTTCTAATCAATGTTGGTAATGCATATATATATATTAGTCAGGGTTGGTCGTAGAAACGTCAATGGCGTCGATATTTACCGTGTGTTTCAGTATCTCTCAAGGTCTGTGGTAGAAAGTAAACTAAAAAAAAAAGTCCCTTTTTAAAGTGATATTAACACACAAAAGTCAATGGTGTCACCCACTTCCGTAATGAATAAAGACATCAATTTAAAGGGGAGGGAGCGATTAATAACATACAATATAATTAAACGTATCGACATGGATGAAAAAAAAATACAAGTTTTTCGAAAAGTTTAGGAAGTTACCGCACCAGGCTATAACAGTTCAGAGGCGGACCTAGGAGAAATAGCCTAAGCTACTCTATCCCTTTGAGATGTATTTTCTTGTTTCAATAAACATAGAATATTTAAGATACATACTTGAATAGGTGAATACAGACAGCCAGTCGGCACTCACCCCCAGGAGGCCAGCAGGACAGTCTCGCCTGGCTGTCTGGCAGGTGGCCCAGGGGATGCCTTTCACCGTGAAGTCGGGCACGTCCTTCGTCACCTTCCCGCTGGTCGTGGTGAGGATCACGTCCACGAAGCACCTGGAGAAGGGGAGCGGGAAAGTGCTCGATAAATTAGGTTTCAGTTTTTATTCTTGCCCTGATAAGCACATATTCCTTCTTAGCAGTTCTTCGCTAACACTAGCAGGAAAGAGCATCGGCTCGTTGGATGTATCTTTAAAGCTGTTAGTCATTTAATTATGATTCCTGTTGTTGGGGACAGGAGGGCTGTACTTCGGCTTATCGAGAACCCCTAAGCCGACCCTCACTAGTATGCAACACAACTGTTGCCAAACTCCCGCCTATACCTACTAAACTGCTAGATTAATTGAGTTTATTTATTTATTTATATATACAGGAATTCTTACATTCTTGCAAAGCCACTAGAACGCATAGCGTTTAACAGAGGCACGAGGTGAAAGGGAACGTGCCCAACTGTTTCTGTCCTGCCCGGGATTAAATCCGGGTCCCTCTGGTGCAGCCGAGGACGTAGACCACTGAGCAATAACTCCCATCCACGTTGTTGTTTAAGATTCAGCTACTGGGAACAAAAAGTTGCAAGTAGCTCGGGCTATGGTGAGCCCGAAGTGGACTTACACGGCACAGGAGCAGGGCTGTAACTGTCTCCAAAGGATACCTGATCAACCAGGCTGTGACTCATACGTCAGGCTGCGAGCAGCCGCGTCCAACAGCCTGGTTGATCAGTCCGGCAACCAGGAGGCCTGGTCGACGACCGGGCCGCGGGGACACTAAGCCCCGGAAGCACCTCAAGGTAAGGTAACCTCAAGGTAGGTCTCCATCTCATCAAAGGGCCTGACAGCTGAGTAGACAGCGTTTCGGATTCGTAGTCCTGAAATTCCGAGTTCGATCCCCGGTGGAGGCGGAAACAAATGGGCAGAATTTCTTTCACCCCGATGCCCCCTGTTTCCTAGCAGTAAATAGGTACCTAGGAGTATAGACAGCTGCTACGGGCTGCTTCCTTGGGGAGTGTAACAAAAAGGAGGCCTGGTCGAGGACTGGGCCGCGGGGACGCTAAGCCCCGAAATCATCTCAAGATCTCAAGATAGATCCCCATCGTTCATTTCTTATTTCCTGTTATAACTGTGGTCCCCCCCCCCCCTGTAATTTATCCTTGTGATTTATTTCTTATTTTTGTGATTCATTAACTAATTCATTTCTTATCTTCGCATCTAGATTCCATGCTTGTATTATTGCTGCTCAACCTAAACATTTTAGTTGTCTTCCTATATTGAAATACTACTCAATATTTGATATATCTGAATCATAACACCTTTGGTTACACAGGAAAATCACATTATCGTGATATATCAATGAGAAAATCCACAGGAGCTGTGATGAGGATTCGAACCTATATGTGCTAGGTGTTCCCAGATGCACACGCTAGACACAACGCCACGACATGGTCAAAAGAATTGCAGCCTTGGGAACTACTGTGCCCTCGAGGCTTCCGCTGAAGCCTCGGCTTCCGCTGAAGCCGAACCAGGGTCTCACGCAATCCCCCCCCCCCCCCCCCTATGCACTCTGGTTCTGTCGTCCTCGAGACAGTTGAACAATATATATATATATATATATATATATATATATATATATATATATATATATATATATATATATATATATTAAATATTTTCAGTGTTAAAGAGTGACTTTGTTAGTAGCCAGGAGCATGTGGACTTTGGTTGAGTTAAGTATTTTGTATATTAATATAACCAAGTTAGTGGTTCAGAAAATCAGCACAAGCACTGTTGATAATCAGGGCGACGGATTTTTTTTTTTAGTGGGGGTGGGTGGGGGGGGATAATTACAAAAGCCTATTCTTGCACACAACACTAGCGTGTTGGAAGGTGGTACACCAAGCGTGGCTGATGATGTAGCGTGACAGTCAAGGCCACGGAGGTAACAGTCTGTTGCCTGGATTAATTAGGCATATAGAGGCCACCCCAAGGCCAGCTATAAACTTCCCCCCCCCCCCAGGATACAACTAGGCTAACAGATGCGCCAGATGAAAAGGGCAAGACCGTCTCTGTCCTGCCGCGTGAATCGAATCCGGGATTACCAAAAAGCGTTTGACAGTGTTTCGCGCAAGAGGTTTCTGTATACACGTAAAGATCAAATATAAGAGCAACTCAGTTACAGCCCCCGCTCCTGTACCAGGTAAGTTCACTACGGGCTTGTAGCGAGTAAATTATGTAAACAATTTACTCGCTCCAAACTCATTAGCTAAATGAGAGAAGCAAACGTTTCATTAGCAATAATGACTTCAATCAGATCTATTCCCTAATTACAGGTAACATTTGTTCCATCCTATTGGAGGAAGCTGAGGTGTAGTCCAATAAAATAAGCAGTCAAGAAGCGAGTTAGCATCACTGTAATTTCCACAGTGATTCAGTTAACTTCAGTGCAGATGCTCAGGGGTTACCACACCTCTTCAACCTCAGGATTGTAGCACTCGGCGTATGCAGTTCTAATCGACCCCAAGACGCTCCAGCATCGACACAGAGCAGACAGCAGACTACGACCCCATCGAGTTTAGACACTCACCACCACATCGAGTTTAGACACTCATAATTCCCAATCGAGCCGCCACGCTCACCCGCATCGAGCTCTGCGACTCCGGCCTCACTCAGCTCTCTGCTCTACTTCAGGTTCCGTCTCAACGTCTACGACACTGCTGTATCCAAGACTACTAAATAAATAAGAAAACCCACTAAACACTGTGTATCTAATCTACCCAACAACGTAACATAATCGTACGTTACATTGGTGACCCCAGAGAATGTCGACAATACCAAGCCCGGACGATCTACATCATGGCCTCTCACTGGACCTCTATTGCTGCTGCCTGCTGCGGACCACTGCCACCTGTCATAGAACACTGCCTGGAATCTCACTAGAGCTATGATTTTCACCGCGATTATCTCTGCATGCTCATCTGCTACACCTTGTTGCATCACGATCGTTACTTATTCATCTGACAGCCTCATCAGTAAATACATCATGCAGGATCTACAGCCTGGCCTGCCGACTCTCCGTCGCTGCCAGGACGCTGCTGGTCCTACAGGGACTCCCACCACAGCTGCTCTTCAACAGATTCATCGACATGTTTACTGCATTCTGATACTCTGCCGACTCAAGCCCTTTCCTTGCGCAGTACATGACCTACAGCTTGCGTTTCCCATTCTTCGTCGCCGCCAGGACACTTCAGCTCTAACAGTTATTCCCTCGTTGTCCTAACTACGTGCCTACATTACCTCCTAAGGTCAAGGTGCCTGAGCCCATCCGGCCCGGATCTAAATGCTCCACCGGCAGAGACCAAGGACGCAACAATCGTGCATATCCTTCTCACCTGCTACACCAAGCTTGTCCACACAATGCTTGCGTGTCTTGGTACCGGATTATATGCTCCACAACGACCCAGGGAACACCAGCCTCTTATTTTTGTTGTATTGCTTTTCTTTCATTCCCTGGCAGGGGGAGTTCTGTAGCCAGTAAATTATGTAAACAATTTACTCGCTCCAAACTCATTAGCTAAATGAGAGAAGCAAACGTTTCATTAGCAATAATGGCTTCAATCAAATCTATTCCCTAATTACAGGTAACATTTCTTCCATCCTATTGGAGGAAGCTGAGGTGTAGTCCAATAAAATAAGCAGTCAAGTAGCGAGTTAGCATCACTGTAATTTCCATAGTGATTCAGTTAACTTTAGTGCAGATGCTCAGGGGTTACCACACCTCGTCAACCTCAGGATTGTAGCACTCGGCGTATGCAGTTCTAATCGACCCCAAGACGCTCCAGCATCGACACAGAGCAGACAGCAGACTACGACCACATCGAGTTTAGACACTCATAATTCCCAATCGAGTCGCCATGCTCACCCGCATCGAGCTACATCCCCCTTTCTCCCCCCCCCCCATTCGAATTTCCCGTTCTTTACTCCCTCTCTCTTTTCCATCTCATCTCCCCCACCTTTTCCCCCCTTTCTCCCGACCATCCCCCTATTTCCCTACCCTTCCCTCCATCCTTGAACAGACTTTTCCATTTATATAAAAGGGGTACCCCTTCCCACCCCCTTCCCCACACTTCACCCCATTGACCTCATCCCCATCTCCTAGCCTCCCCCCCCCCTCTTCGCCCCTTCCCTTGGTCTCCCCTTCTCAGAGAGTATATATTATTAAGAAGCCTTGAGTCTCAAAATGCTATCATCTTGAGTCTTCAAAATGAGAATCTAGCGAACCGCGCGAATCTCCATCATCAACAACAGGAAATAGCCCTCCCCCGCGAGGACATTAGAAACTTTAAGGCTAGCCAAGATCAACTCCAGTATGACTTGAATGATCTCCGTGAGGAAAACAATCTTCTGAAAACTGATGAAGCCATAAAAAAACAGGAGGAAGCTCTCAACAAAATGACTGCATGTATCAGTACATTATCCGCCCAACGTTCCGTCTCCCAGGAAGAACAAAATCAGCAAAAGCTGCTAGACTGTTATTGTGTCGTCCCAAGATATACCTGTGGAACGTGAAGGTGAAAAGTGTGTCGAAATAGCTCAGGCTCTCATAAAAAACGAATTGCAGGTCATTCTAAACAAAACAGACATTATTGCTGCCTACAGAGTAGGCAAAAAGAATCCATCAGGACAAAACCAGCGGAAAATTCGCCTGAAGCTGACTTGCCAGTCCATGAAATCGCATCTTGTCCGGACAGCTGCATCCCAACGGAAGGGATTATACATCAACGAGTGCTTGACAAGGAACAGACAGCAACGCCTCTACCGCCTGCGTCAAATCCGTCATCAAAACTCACATGTGATTCATCAGTGCTTCGTTAGAGATGGATTGATTAAGGTGCGAAAGACTGCAGAGGGTAAAATGTTCACAATTGCTAATGAAGAGAACCTCAACACTTTCCTCTCCCAATGTGGTTTGTCTCACCTTATTATCACTCTCAATGAATCAAGTTAATTAACCCTCTTGTCACCTAGTGGGGCTAGGTATCCTAAGTCTCCTTGTTTCACTTTTTA